CTTCGCTGTGACTCAGTGGGAGGAGTTTCTTGGCCGAGCTTCTAAGTCGTCGCCCGATCCGCTCGAGTCGCCGCCGATGGAATGAGGGGTGTGTCCTCGGTGAGCTCCAGTGAGCAATGTTACTTATCGACCCGCAGGCCGAAGGAATGCAGCCAGTACATGCAAGCGAGCCGTTTCGGGCGCTTATTGGGACCGAAGAGTAGATATGAGAAAGCAGGAACTGCATAACTCTGACCGCAGTCGGTGGGATCTAATAGCTGGTTCGTTTTTATATGGTCTCGGGACAATATGAGACGACTTCGAGGATGGCTGTGCATCATCCGCGGTATTCCTTTTAGGAACATGGCGGACGAATTCCTTTGCTCGGCAAGCAAAGCCTATGCGGCGCGAAATAATATTAATTTTATGCGGGCTCATACTATGCGATCGCGCATCGCTGGATTCAAAGGCGAAGCGCGAACTTGTGGGATTTTCACCGAAGACTCTGCAGGGAATCTGAGTTAAGTCCGATTCGGATCCGGAGCGGGCATGGGTCATCCTTAAATGCGAATGACCGATCATAAGTTTCCATAAACAAGGCAAATAGGAGGAAAACAGCCAGCGCCGACCCTCTCGGAGGAAGTGCTCGAACGGAGTCTCAGAGTCCCGCGAGTATGAGGAGTACACAGGCTGCCGCTATCGGGTCGGCACAAGGAGCTCTCGTAAGAGGCTTCACTGCGACAGACGGATATACATACATGAAGTCGATTCTACTGCCTAGTATCGTTCTGCGCGGAGATGTCCCTCGCTCCGGGTGATTCGGAAACGAGACGGAAGGATAGAGCGAGAAGAGAGACGGTCGCCGGGTGGCTAGCTAGCTCGATCTTCGTTCGTCTGTTCTTCATCTTCAAGTTGGCTTTCGACCCGTTTTGGTCTTCTTCTTCCGAACAGTCCGTCAGTTCGTCAGGCTTGCTGCTCGGCGGACTGGCAGGCAGGCAAGCGAACAAACGGATGAACGAAGCAACGAGCAAGCCAGACCTCGCTCGCTCGCTGGCTCACTCTCTAGCTCGCTCACTCGCCTGGTCCCTCTGGGTTGTAAAACTTTACGAGCGTCCCTCTCTTTGCTGGATGGCTCGCTGCCTGCCCGCCTGCTTGCCGGCCGGTCGGTCGGTCGGCCAGGCTGACGCTGCTGATGCCGGGCAGGATGAGCCTGCAGAATGCCTGGACGGCAGGCAGCCTATTGAAGAACTCAGCCGTCTGTGAGCAAGCTAGAGCCCCTTTGCTCGCTTCTCCCGTTCTGCTGAGGCCGCTTACTTGTACGATGAACGAACTTCGAGACATCAAGACTTCGAAAGCTCGACACATACGAAAGGAACTGCGGCGGGAGAGCTCGCGTATTCGGGAGAGAACAAACCTGGGTTGTCGCGAGTCGCGACTTTTCCAGAAGATGCTCATTGGTCTCGTCCGATTCGCCGTTCCGAGAAACCATTCCGCTCAGAAGAACCGGGTGAATAAATGGAAGACCGGGGGAACAAGAAGGAGAACTCTCCCCCGGAGCGTGAAGACCGCAGTCGATTCGCAAATTCGGAGTTGAACAATGGGAGAGAACTTCTGAGCACAGAAGAAGATGCACCACGTTTTTCACTGTTGCGGGGAGCGATATTCATACATATTCTGCGCAAAATGGTAAATGCTCAGACGACGAAGGTCACACGTAAGATCGCGTGCCGTCATACCCGCCTCTCTGCACAATGTGCGACAAGGTTTCCTGTCCCTGGAAAACAAAGGGAATGCACAAAAAATAATTCAGACTCGAGGAAATTTCGCAGAAGTCGTTTCACGGTCATCGCGGAGGCATGCAAACCCGATCGTTCTGAAAATACGGTCTTCGTCAATTTTCGTCGACGCGCCTCGTTTCTGAGAAACAGAAGAGTGATGGGGACACGAGAGGAGAAGCAGCGAGTCTCCGGAATCTATGATGCACCGCTACAAGATTCCGATTGGCTCACAAAGGGCGGCGAGGAACGACGCTTTCGGAGAAAATCAATTCAGATCTGTCGTAGACGACGTCGGACATTCTAATCGGCAGCGGGACTCGCTTGGTCCCCTTGACGAGCCCGGGTATTTCTCCACGGACTCCGGCTACCGTGCGATTGGAGCTCATACGCATAAGCTCCGACGTTCATCGGGCGACTGATTCTTACCGTGGAGGAGAGTCCCCCAGCAATCAGGACACGTTTCCCAATACGCGATACGGCTCGAAACGCCTGAATCGTTTCACATCGATTCTGAGGTGAACGAGCGACCTTGGAGGGTCAATAAACGGCCTTCTATAGAATAGTCGTAACCATAAAATAAGATGTAACATCCACGTCTATGAATCGTTGGGGAAGCCCTCCGTCTCGTCGCCGTCTCATTCCCGCCGCCGCGGCAGCCACGGTAGTGGCAGATGCGGAAATAAAACCAAAACCCTTTTATTTGAAACGATCGAAGACCGCCAATCAATAAATCGCTTCCTTGCGAGGACTCAAGGATCGGTCCAGATTCGAGTCGAAGCTTCAAAGTCGGGAATCCTTCCAGACGGACGATCATCGTCGGCTTTCGTCGTTTTTTTATGAGTTGCAAACCTTGGTGTCGACGAAGCTCATGCGGCGGAGTTTTCTGCCGACCCTGTAGGCAGCCGGGCAGCAGGTGCTGATCGCCGCTATAATGGCTTGCGAGGAGCTCTGCTAGAATTTCTGTGGCAGATTCAAGAGCGACATTTCGGAAGTCAGCACCGTCGCAAGCTTTCTCCCAGGCGGGAGCGACTTGTAATCCTTAGTTCGCTCCGTCATCTGAGCCACTCACGCACGGAAACTGGCGAGATTTGCCTATCTCTAGAAAGTAGATACGAGTTTCACTCTGAATCGTAGTCATAAATGATGCTATCTCACATGTTCGTCGCGTGATTCTTGACCGAATGATGTTGAGTTGTAAACTTGCTCGGAAACATTCCAAATGAAGGTATAAAAATGTTCCGTTACCAGAACGTAGATTTGGAGGCGGCAAGAAGATCTCCACGAGCGAAACGCATCCAACTCGTGTCGGAATATACGTGGGAACCCTTGTTGGGGGAAATGTTCCCCATCGCGAGCATCATCTTCTGCAAGAGGCGAGAGAGACGGAAGCCGAAAGTTGAGCCCGCTCTGAGTGGTCACGGGTCCTACCTGGTTCTTAGGACCGATGGGAAATCGCGAGCTGCGTGTTAGATTCTCATCTTGCACGCATCCCCCCGTCTGCTCCGTCGACGTTCATAATATTAACATTATGTCGAACATAATTACGAAGTTTGCAGAGCCCTGCGAATATTATCATTAGGCATCTGAGTGATTATGATCTTCTGGATAACCTTCACGAGAACAATCATCTGAGCGTCACATAACAATACATACGAGCGTTTTGAGCTCCCGTGGCTAATCAACGTAGTCCCGCAGCACTTGAAGAGGTTTCTGGAACTTTCAATGCGTGCAACGCATCCCGCAAGCATCGGGGGGATAGATATAATTGACTTGCGTCTGTGGAGCCGAGTCGTATAATCGTATAGGCAATTCTTTAGTTCGCTGACTTCTTGGCATTCTCTGGAGCTCCGAGGAATACCGACAACGCAGCCATGTGTGCTTATTTACGGCATTTATTCATGACTAGCCGTCGCGTCGTTGGGCAACTATTCCATATTTCCGTCTTCCTCATTTGAGAAAGTCCGACCGCGAAGCGACGATGCCCTCGAGGGTCGGGTCATTAGCACAAGGAGATGCCTTCTCGACGATGCGGGGATGGGGAGATCTCGGGAATAGGCGTAAAGGGAACGCCTTCGGCTGAAAAACACGGAACCTCTCAGTGTATGGATAGTGCCCCACTGCGCTGATAGGTGCTACTGACGGCGTGCTCTATCACGTTCATTCCGAACCCTGTCACGTCTGGTGCGCCTCTACAAACATAGCCCGATGCGGAAGGATAGACTGCGCACGCGAACGCTGGCTTTGCGCATAACTCATTGCCAGCAGGCATCCGAGCGAGGCCAGATCTCTCTGGCGCTCGGAAGACAATTGCGGTCGAGAGGATCTGCTCCTCCCAAGCCACTCGGTAGTATTTTCCGAGGCTTTGCGATCGACGCCGAAATCTGATGTCACTCGGAAAGAATTGAGGCAGAGAATCAGGCATGTCCACGACCAGGACTTGCATTCTCGATGTATTGCCAGCAGTCGATCGACTCCTCGCGACGAGCCCTGCGGGAACCCGCGCGGATATGTTCGCGGAGGCTTCAACGCCGCGCCGAAGCGGGGAAACCGACGGACGGCGCACCTAAGCATACAAATTGACAAGACACCTAGGTTCACGCTTGTTTAGACTTGGTTTGCTCGCGAAGGGGGTCACGAGTCTCGCTTTAAACTCGACAATCATTCGTCAGTGACGAATCTGACATGAGATCCTCATACCCTTCGAGGAATTCCTCTCGGAAACCGATTAAACGGCTCGAAAATTCTCACGAAATGGGCATCAATTTATAAAAATGGGCAAGAAGGAGCGAGATTCCCAGATTCGAACTTCCGACAGTCGATGGCGATGGTCTGTGGTCGAATTCACGAGCGGAAAAACGCTAATTCCTTGAGCCTACTGAATGCCCTTGACGGATGCGCAGGAAGGGCCGACTTCGACGCTTTCAGTTACTAGCCACAGCTCTTCGGATTTTCACCATAAGATCCCATACAAGGGCGGAGCAGCTTATCGAAGATTCCGACGATATCTCCCAGAATCAGCAAAATTTCAAAGCAAGAGCAATTTTCGAATTCCGGAGGCGAGACCCGAGACGATGCGGCTCGTGAGGATTGAGCCAGCATCTCCAACGCGAGCTGATCGATCCTGCACGGTTTTCGGGAGACAATGATGTCCTGCGCGTAGTCAGCGGGGTGAAGTCGTCAGGGCGTTTTTTTTCATTCCGGAGTCGGACAGTGAAAATATTCATGTAATTTTTCCTTCTGCAGATGAACCAAACGTTTGGCCACACACAATCAGCAGTGGACGCAGCTGCCCATGGAGGCATGCTGCCACTTCCATTGCCGAGTAGTGTCACGAACCGGCATCGTCTCGAGTGCGCACCCACCGGTCCAATTCCATATGCGATGAATGTGCAGTTCGGACACCCCAACTGGTGAGTCGAAGTTTACCTATTCATCCCGGCGAACAAGTCGTAGAGGGAACAGCCTGGGGTTTCCCGAGCCATGCTGAGCAGGTAATGGCGAGGGAACAAATTTGAGCCCACGAACGCTTGCAGGTACACTGCCGACTTCGACTCGTATGCATACCCGGACACGAAGCCGGATATACATTTCACCGACAGCAAAAAATACATATGGAATAGATCGGAAGGGTGGTACACAAGTTATCAAGAATACCAGGACCAGCACCCGTCGCGGTGAGTTCATTGCGTTCCAGAGCCTCATCTGCAGGGTTCTATACGGGTCTTGAAGACTCGGTGATTGAATCGCTGCTTCTGTTCTCCAGAGTCGAGTCCACCTCGTCGGGCTTCTCCCCTTATCCTTCGCCGCACCCGGCGAGTTTGTCCACGACACCTACTCACACAGGTTCGGGTAGCTCTCCGGCGCTCCCGAACTCTCAAACCACCGCTGACGCAAGCGAGGATGACGTCAACGACAGGAGCGGTAAGCATAGGACTACATAGAAATCATTGGGAATCATTCCTGAGGCTCGATCGTTTCCGCGAAATCGAGACAGTGTTCATGGAACGTTCCCTTGTTTCGTTCAGGTTCACCCGACGAATCGGAGTGGTCGCCGTCTGTGGGCGTAGAAAGAGGGGAACGTGAGCCCGGAGCGCAGGGTACAGTGCACGTACGCAAGAAGCGCAAGCCTTACTCGAAATTCCAAACGTTGGAATTAGAGAAGGAATTCCTCTACAACGCGTACGTGTCCAAACAAAAGCGATGGGAGCTGGCACGGAACTTAAACCTAACGGAACGTCAGGTGAGCTCCCTCTCGCAGTGGTCGCCCCCGCAGACTGAAGAATGAAATTCGAATTTCTTCGGTGGGGGCGGGAACGGCAGTGCAAACGAGATTATTCGGATTGATTTCATATATTTCAATTATTCATTTTCCACAGGTGAAAATCTGGTTCCAAAACCGACGCATGAAAAGCAAGCGGAACAGCCAACGGCAGCAGACACAGAACCGATCGAGTCAGATCGCGCTAGCAAATACACCTATTTCAGGGGGACCCGCTCATTCCCTGGGGGCCACGCCTCCTGGACCCTTGCAACCAATGGGTTTACAATGCGGATATCCCCCACCCCCTGATCCCCATGCCCAGTCCTCTGTGTATCCAGTACTCTCTAGCAGTTACCTATAGATCCGAATAGAAGATGATGATGATGATAATAATGATGATTATAATTACGATAGAATTATCACTGCAAACAGGGAGAGAAGTCATAACGCGAAACCCAATACTTTAATTGCGGATATTACATATTATCATCAATCAATCAATAAACCAATAAAGCAGACGAAACCAACGAGACTTGAGCGAGTGAATGCATAATATCCAAACGGGGGCTTATGAATTTCGAGCGAGCGACAAAAACACAAGAAGAAGAGAAAACCTCCGGAGGGCCAATCGAAGCGCGAGAGGCTCTGCTAGTTCTAGTATGAAGGTGTTGCGTATTCATTTTAACGAACTGTAGCCAGATGGATTAGATCCACGAAAAAACAAACATTTACAGAGCTCTGGAAAATATTGACACTGTGAATACGAGCAGAAATAAAGAAAAGAGACGCGAACGAAAAAAACGATTCATCATTGCGACGAGACCACAGCTTACCTGTCTGATTGCGGTCTCGCGCGATCCTATTCGATGGATTCAGATGAACGTGCGAATAATATCATTGGACTCGTTGCGACACTTGTAAACATGGGAGCAAGCGCGACGGCAAGTATTTCCAAGTTGATTCATTGTATCATCCTTCGAAGAATGGAAACGACATCGAGTCCGGGGGAAGCTCAGTAGACTGAAACGGGGGACCGAAATAATCTTCGCATGACATCGAGTGCCAAAAAATTTGACTCTTCTCTAGATACGGCGGATGATTCCTATGCTTTCCTTCGTCCCGGGAGGATTGAGCATTAGGATTTGGAAGATCCCCGCGGCCGTGGGCCTGGCTGGAAAGGATTTTAGAGCACATGAGCCAGCTCGCCATTCGTCCGTGACGAGCCATTGGGCCAGAGATCTGTTGCATTGAGCGGAGGACGGCCGCGTGGAACGAATGATGGATGGAAAACCATCAACTCAGTGGTCGAGCAATGGAAAACACACATAATTGAAGCACGATAGTTTGTGGAAACGAAAGTCATTTTGCTTTATACTTTGTACATATAGGCTAGCTAGTAAATGAGGGACACTCAACTGAGCTCCCATCCTTATCCCTCAGACGAGGGTTCGGAAGACAATTATTATTTCTTAAGAGGAACTTCCGGTCCTGAGCTTCTACCCGGGTTCATTAATGCTGTCTTAGATTGTGTGCGCGCGTCAATGTGAAATCGACGATAGAAAGGTTGGAAAACGGAACAATAAAAATACATGATCCGAATCAGAAGCTCCGGAGTTTTTCTTGCGAGTCCGAAATCACGCTATACTCCTCAATACGCTTGCTGACCTTGGGTTCGTCAATTCCTCCATTGACTGGTTTAGGTCAGATCTTACTGATCGAAAAATCGTGGTCTCGCTCAATGGCGCCCTGTCTGATCCCTTTGTCGTAAACTGTGGGGTTCCGCAGGGTTCCGTCTTGGGTCCCTTTCTCTTCATTCTTTATGTCAATGTTATTCTCCTCAGAGCCAACTCGTCTGAGAGGGTCAGAACCATAGCGTTTGCAGATGACACTACTGTGCTCGTTCGGGTTGATCCCAAGAACTTGGCCGAGGATATGGCATTGGTAAATACTTGTCTTGCGGCTGTCTTTGACTCCTTCTGTTCTCTTCGCCTCTCAATCAATGCTGATAAACTAAGCTTCTACACTTTCGTCAGCGTCCCTATACTCCATCACCTGTAGACGGTTTGATTGTCCTCAATGGTGTGACGCTCCCTCTGTCTCAGTCGGTCACTTGCCTCGGTTTGGTCCTAGAGGCCAATCTTTCGTGGCTGAAGTACTCCGTTCAGTTACGTCGAAGGCTTGCATCATACGCTTTTTGCCTCCATAGGCTCAGACGTCTGGGACTCCCTCGCAACATTCTTATCTCTGTCCATAGGGCTATTATAGGTAGCTCCATCTCCTATTGCTGCTCAGTCTGGGGCCTGTCCCCGTCCTCCGCCGTCCTCCGGTCGGTTCAGATCGCCCAGAATAATGCGACTAGAGCTATCTATGGACTTCCGCCCCGCTCGTCGGTCTCTCCTCTTCTCCGCTCGCTCTCCTTCTTCAATGTTCGCCAACTCTGTACCTACCGCATCGCTTGCCTGGCGTTTCTGTCGATCTACTCTCCTGCTCTTCTCCCTAAGTCATGCATTTCAGAGTTTGTCACCTCCCTGAGATCGTTGAGAAACCATCGTCTGCGCGTACCACGGGTTGTTCAGTCGTCCTCTAGGGCCACACCTCTGTACCAACTCTCGGATGTTTGGAATAACCTCCCTGCTGATCTTCGAGGCGTTACCCACTACCGTGAATTCAAACGTAAACTGCGTACTCATGTACTATCTAGTCAAAGTGCAGCCTAACCGGGCTTGCGGGTATCCACCCAACTCATCGCTATGTAATAAATCAAATCAAACTGCACTCTTGAGAGCGATTTTCACGAATGGATGCCAATCATGAGGTAAATTGGGAACCATACGTGCAGTGTGGCTGACTTTCGATACCACTCCGCATCTGAATGAAGGGATGAATGACCGAAGGACGCAAATAGGCAAAGTGTCGCCGCGTTGGATTTTCGGGAATGCCTAACTGCTCCCGAAACTCCGCCCCCCCAAGATTCAGAGTCCCCGATAGAGGCTGCCTTCGACCCTTTCATCCGGTATCGTTTCAAACATTGCTGGCTCGGCGAGTCCTCCTTTCGAGCCCTCCAGACGATACACGATCGCTGCATGATGATGTCTGCACACCGATGAGAACGACATGCCATACTCACGTGACCGTAAATGGAGGCAAATTCGTGCACTGGACCAAACTAGCAAGCTGAGCGCTGAGGTTTACTCTGGGCATTCTTCGATCTTCATGTATGTCAAGGTCAGAATTTTAATTTCCGTTGTGTGCTCTACCGCACTCTCAGTAGAGACTGTTCCTCGTGCTCTTCATTCCACGGCAGCTCAGCTATGAGTTCGGGAGGGTCGTCCTCGAATTTGTTCTCGTGATTGTGAATAACAGCCAGTGCTTGATTTATTCCGTAGTATCAGCCCCTGTGAATCGACATGATTGGGAAACTCAAAATGAGTTTAGCCAATTGGTTCGCTCTGCGGGGGCCAAAGCGCTTATTCAAGAAGAAGGAACGCAAAAAAATCGAGCGTGTGGGAGAGGATTCTCCTCTGTGAGTTACTAAACCGGGAGCGTCAATTCAGAAGATCGAGCCGAATACATTTTCCCCGCAGGAATGGGCTTGAAAATCGACGATTAGCCAGACGCTGATTCATTCCAGCGTGGAACCCATTCTTGTGGAAAGCTGTTGCAGCAACCTGCGAGTGATGATGGCCGAGTCTCAAGTTCCTGGTCTGAGCTCAATGCTCCGAGGTCGTTCAAGAGTAAGAGTGTATACGTGGGCCTTCTGTGAGTTTTCACGAGTTATCCGATTTTTGGAATTGAATCGATCGCCCCATGCGCTCTCTAACACTAAAGTACTTAAATTCGATGACTGGACGGATATCCTTGCATCCCTCTATCCAGTCTATATAGTGATGACCGTGGTTGCGCTTCATTTTCTGCGAGTGCTGTTTGACGACTACTTCTCCTATCCGATATCGGTTTCGATTCGGCTGGAGGATACCGCCGGTCTCTTGCTCCCGGCCATCACGATCTGTAATCTGAATCCGGTTCGCCGAACTCTGATCTGCGGTGAGAACACATTCACCTTGGCAATTCCCGACGACATAAAGGATTATCTGTGCAACGAAACCTACCGACACATGGTAAGAGTCGAGTGCGCGCAAGCGAAGAGAGCGGGCATACTCCAGTCTCTGAACGACCGATACTTCTGGTTTCGTGATTTTGAGTTATATTTGAGTCTTGTAGATATCCGATGACGGTGCGAACATGGTGAACGACTTCACCTTCTGGCTCGCCAGCAGTCAACGCTTGGATCGTGACGCCGTGAAGGCTCTCGGGCATAACATCCGGCGAAACGTTCGCAGTTGCACTCTTCAGGGAAGCAAATGCAATCTGAATCCAGGGTAGTCTAGAAAGGATGATCGTCCATCAGAAATGACAACCGAACAAGGATCGGACGTCTCGAGTAACCTCCGTCGAATTCTCTAGGTTTTTCACCGACACTTTCAGCTCGACTTATGGAAACTGCTTAACGATCAATAAACAGAAACGCGAGAGCGGTGACTTCGTATTTTATCGTCTCGGGAGGCCTGAACAGGGTCTCGAATTGATCCTTAATGTGGAGAGTGAGTTTCCCCCGATTGCTCTGCTGATATCGATATATCGAAGCAGGCATACATCGACCGAAAGATACGGAGAGTTTTCGTGAACGCGCACATAAATATTAACATATCTGGTATCGGCATCGCTTGGTCTTTCATGACAAATCCTGCAGTTAACGAATATCTGCCGACGACATCTGAAGCCGGCTACATTGTGATGATTCATCAGCATGACCTTGAAGCAGACGAAGCTACCGACGGTATATTCATCTCCCCAGACGGGACAACTTACATCGGAGTAAATGTGGTAGGCGATCCGCAAAGACAAAAAAGTCGTATGCTTTTTGACTTAGAACAACGAGGAAAAGCGGCTAGCTCTATGGTTTCCAGAGGAAGATTGAGCGACTTGAGAATCCGTATCCTTCACATTGTGTGTTCAAATGGCCGAAAGATTCGTTGAAACCCGAGGAGGATAATTCGTACAACCGTGCGGTAAAGTATCCCAATCGACTCGACGTCTCCATATTTAGCCTTCGGGAATTATTCCGATACTCCCCCATGATCAACCCTTACATATTGTGCCCTCAGAACTGTCTGAAATACTGCTTGCAAGAAGCGATCTTCACGAAATGCGGATGTGAAAGTGTTGCTCTGCCCACTCTCAGCAACGCTCGGAACATCTGTGATATTATCCAGTATAATGGTAAGCCCGGTGAGATGCTCAGTATGTGAAACACAAGGCTACTCTACGAGGACATCGAAGGTGGACCAGATCGACCTTTAAGAGTCTCTCGAATTTTCTCGACTTGGGGATTCCCCGCGAATTTTCGCAGTGACTTTCCCCCCGCTATACGGTTCATGGAGATCACGGATTGCCGGAAAGCATTATTCGGGACGGGCGCCACCTCCACGATTGAGAGAAAGCTCGCAAAATCTTCGGGCTAGGACAGTAGGGATCTGCCCCTGGCGGCGCGCGGCGCTGTGTCTCTCTCGGCCATCCCCCAGTCAAGCCATGGAAGCAGCCTCTTGGCGCTACCTGGCTCCATATCAATGGTCCGGTGCAGTCCTGCAGTGCCGCTGTTTCTGTTGATGCTCCTTCGAGCGGTGGACACTGAGCACCGGTCTATGGGCGGGAAGTCGCTGGCTCAGGAGGACGGCTCATTGAAGATCCTTGTTCAGGGCCGACGCACCTGACATCGGCTTGAGGCTGCGATCCAGCCTGGGTGGAGCTCAAACTATAGTCCGACTTTGTTAGCCAAGAGTATCAGCGAGCTGTCTGTGGATGAGGAGTTTCCTTCCAGAGACCGCGATGTGCTTGGAGAACGTCCGTGCCTCACAGGAACAGGGAAACATCGATGATCTCTGCCTCTGTCCCCAGGCTTGCGTGTGGGTAAATGGCGAAGGGGAGATTGGCCTCGGTACACTATGATCACTTTCCACCTAATGAAGTTTTTTTTGTGCGAAGCGAGCAACTATACGAGAAAAAACATCCACGGCGAGTTGGGCGAAAGACCAGGTAACGGATCTCATATTCACCAGCGCAACATGTTCCCATATATATATATATATATATAGAACTTCACGAATGACGGGACGCGTCTCTTCAGGTCTTCACCACGCCCTCAATTCAGCTCGCGACAATGAGGGGAGACACGTCGATTTTCAACACACCGGCCCCGGTGAGACCAGCGCCGAGATCTGCCTTCAAAGAAACCAGAGTCAAAATGATTGTATATTTCCAAAGTCTCATCATCGAGACAATCAGACAAGTGCCTCAGTATAACGTGAGTTGAAAATTCCCTCACATATCAAGCCGGATAAGACAGACCTGAGCTCTCCATGATAGCAAGCGCCGATATCGCAGCCTGCCGGACTGATTTCCAATATGGGCGGAATCGTCGGAGTCTACTTATCTTTCGGATTCCTGGTCGTTTACGAAATCCTCGAGATCCTCTTCAGGGCGTCGTATGTAGCCGTCGACTTCAAAGTGAGTCTCATCATCAGAGTATCCGAGCTATGTGAGAAGGAGAGGGAAATTGTTTTTCCAAGGCATTTCATGATGACTCCAATCCCCTCAGGCACTCAGCCGACGGATCAGGAAGAAATCTAGCGAGTATCACAATATTACGATGCAAGGTGCCAGGGAAATGAAGCGAAAAATGGGCTTCCAGAACCGTCTTCGAGATATCGAAGTGGAACCAAAATATTTCAACATCGAGCGACATGTCTCGGGTCCACCAAGATTACGCGTGAGCAGACACCAGCGCTTTCCCATCATCCCCCACATCTCCGGAAAGTAGGCTCTATATTGATCCGGAGAGTTATCGACCTCAAATTTCCGTTCGCAGGTCTGGGATTACCCTAGCCGGCGGCAAGACCGAGCGGAACTCGTGCCGGTTCACAGAGCTCCGGAGTTCAGGGTTGATGTGAGGAAGTACATTCAAATGAAAGAACATATGAGAAGCCTCGATGTGAGCAATCACACAGGTGGTGACTTCTGAATCCCCCCTCTGTTAAGACATGTGCACCCGACTTCGGGAGTCTAAATGGGAAACGAAACGTCGCTTTTTCCTGTGCGGGACCGTGGAAGACCTTCTTTCTCCCTTCGGTCCCGTGCTGAAAGAAAACGTCTTTCACATAGACACCAATGTAGGAGTACCTCATCATCTGATAGGTGCCTTCAAGGCGGGAGATAGCTTCATCGAATAGAGATCCGATTCTAAAGAATAAATTGGTGACGATACCCATAGCCAATCAAGAACTGCCTAGGTCTATTCACGGACGGAGTCTCCCCCATGTGTTGCCTGGACGCTAGGAACGGACGGGCTGGCTGGCTGGCTGGCTGGCCGAATGGAGAAGATAAAGTACACTCTCTCTAGAAATTGCCGAGATGACTCAGAATGGCTGACGCTATTCGCTGCATGAACTCCTGAGGTCCTCGACATCCACGGAATCCTCGAATGCGTATAACAGGTGACTGGATTTCCTCCGCGATAACCGTGGACAGATATAGTCGGAACTCATGCATCCTTTCTCATTGACTTCGTTCAAAGGCTACAACGGAAGCTCCTGGCGGCTTGCCCCGCGTCGAGACTCACTGCCACTTCATAATAAGGCTGGGAAGGATTTCATGGAGAGTGTGTCATGGTCTGATTACGGAGGAGGATGGCGGTGGTCATAGCGGCTGCGTCACCGGCAGCGAGAGGGACCCAACGCTCTATTTTACACACCGATGGACAACACTCGGACCCGGAAGCTGGTTTCAGAGATTGTGACACTCTCATTTCGGCCGAAATGGACCATAATGGGTTCCGTAGATTGGGATTTTTCGTTTGTATCGTGGAGCTCGTCGATACTCCAAATCCGGGTGCAACGACTGAGCTGGGGCGTTATCCTCTTGGCTCTACCGAGAATGAATTCACCGCTTTCTATCGGACAGAGAGTCGATCAATTTCGTAGGTATGCATGGGTAGAACTTGCAAGCCTCACTGAGCAATTCCGATGGATGACAAAGCGCGACGCGCAGTGCTCGATGCTTCATTCGTCAAGAATTGACACGACTCGCGAATTAATCACACGAAGAATCGCATCGGTCTACTCATTTCACGGCATAGCAAAGTCGGAGGCAGGGGTTCGCCACACCCTCTCCGATTAACGGGCGGTATCTGCTACGGGGTCATGGCAGTCCGAGGAGCCAACCAGTTGCCCGCCAACTCTCAACAAAAATATTGATATTTGAGAGCAAGTCATGTGTAGTGTCAAGTTCCATGAATACCGCTCGATGAGATTCAGTGCCACCGGATAGTTCCTTGGATTGAGAGCATACGGTTGGGGATCTCAGAGCTCAGAGGTATATCGAAGCGTGTTTTTCGTGGGTATTCGTTCCACAGTAGTCTGCCGCTCGCTCTGTTCCGTACATTTCCGGACCCGCAAAGCACTGGATACGTACTCTTGAACGCTAGGTTTGGGCGCACCGATCTCTGTGGGGCCACCGGTTCCGAAGGTGAGTCAAAACCCCTCTTCTCAATGGGATGCACCTCCCGGGAAACTTCGATGCGCTGCCGGTGTGGCCGAATGCCGATGGCGGAGCAATCAGACTATCGGACTTCGTACTGATCATGCTCGGAGTTATTTTCGGTTGCGACGATTTGTCGATCAAAGGAGTTCTTCGCTCGATTCTGGACTCAATTTCGTCCAACAGCCAACGCGTGCAGCGCGCACGCATCGTCGCTAGAGTTATTGTAGGTAGTCGAGAGCCGTTGGAGAGAACTCCGGTACAATCAGTATCTCTAGCTTTCGTCGAATTACGTCTGACCCCCTTGAACTGACGGATGCATATATCTCCCAGGACCGGCATGGCGAACACATATCGACGCTCTTGCCATTCGGAATCACGATTTAAAGCAGAGTCTCCCGAATTGGGGCTTGATTAAGACAGAGCGACAGGAAATGGGGAACATTCGAGTGCCGGCTGTCTGACACGAATGATCGTCGCAAAATTATTGGATCCGCGAAGTGAGGAAATCTCGTGGCGGACGCCAGTGATTGGAGGGACCTCCAAGCATGAGACATGAGACGAACAGGAGCAGAGCAGTCCTGGTTCGGAGAAATTATCGTTCTGAAGACGTTGAGTCATCATTCGGGCGACAGCAATCTAGAACCTTAGGCTGGCCGGCTTGCCTCATCCTCGCCTGTCCCTTGCAACATTAGACCCTCCCCTAGAGTGAGGACCCACAATGATAATTTTGAACTGAAACCGTCACTCGTAACATCGGTCCTTCAAGGGCCTCAATTGACTTTCGTGCTCGATGACGTTCATCCGATGCTCGACTAGGGAAGGTTTCGATCCGCGAAACAAGGTTCATGAATGATTCATCTTTTGAGAGTTCGGATCAGCCCACCGAAGACAATGTTTCTCCCTCGTGCTCTCGCAGAACAAGTGTACCGGACTCTGCTGTTGAACACTGTTCAGAATTTCGTACCAACGGGGCATCGCGGAGTGCCCGATTGAACCCCGGTCACGGATCGCTTTCACGGTATGTGACCACGCAATCTGATCGATCGACCTTGCCGTCGAGGAAATTGTCATCGTTCATTGAAACATGATTCATAAGGTCTGGGCCTGGGCTCTTCATTCAGAAGGAGGTCTCCCCTCCTGAGGATCCCATTAGGGTGGAGAGGGAACAATGTTCGAGACTGAGCAGGATCGAATATTTCCATGTGTCAATCCGTTTCGATTATTCAGGTCGGATGCAGCCCGACGTTACGAACCCTTGGCGGTAGGCGTTTTGAAAGCAGATTGTCAATTTATGAGTCGCGAGCCAGTCAGAAGCCGGCGTACATAGTACATAGTATCCCTGATAGATACTTAAAAGTGGGAACTTTCGAATCTTTTCATTTTTTTTCTATTCGTTTTCCCGGAATGCTTCCCCGAGACAGTTAGCCGGCACTCCTCTCCATTCCCTCCGCGCTCGAATCCTCATCGGGATTTCCCATATGGAAGGGATAAGCCTGTCGTGGTGGGAGATTCACTCTTTTTCCGAATTTCAGGGAGGGCTTGGCGCATCCGCCAAAGTTGTCCTACGCACAAAGGCGGCTCATCCGACCATTAGCAACGAGGGGGGTCACTCGGAACGTAGACATTTTGACACTCGTTCCTCCAGAGAGAACGTTCGATATAACATCGCTGCTTCCTCCCTCAACGGGCTTCACCCCGAACCAGCAAACGAGGTATTCATACAACTTGGCCCGATGTGATCTCGCTCCCGCAACGTCCAGAGTTTCTGTCACCTCATGGCCCGTTCAAAATCAAACGAGCCCACGTCGGATCGGGCCCTGATGGGCATCGCTCGTAGGTTGTTCACTGATAGCAGCGGCCGGCTGGAACTCGGCCATTGAGCCAGCGAGGTGTTGGCGCGGTGGGCTCGAATGCGGCGCGCACCGGCATCCGGCACCTCTACGGCACCAAGGAGTATGGGCTGTGGAGCCTCGCAGAACTCCGCATCCTCGGCTTCAAGGGGCTGGATACTACAATCTTTCCGAGAACACAAAGGACCCATCAATTGCTCCGCTCTGAGCGACGATGAGAGTCTTCTAGTGACAGGCAGTGAGGACGGAACGGTCAAGATGTGGTCAACGCAGAGCGAGCCCGTCGAAATGCTGGGTAAGCGCAGCTTTGACGGGGATCCCGGACTGGAGAATCTCCATGGCGAACCTGGAGAACCTGAAAGGAACCGCTTGTTTCGTTCCAGGAACGCTCATTGGACATTCGAGTTATATCACTTATTGTACAATTCATGGCAGCTACATAATAACGGCATCCGCCGATGGCACCATGAAAAAATGGAATATCGCCGACGCATCGTGCATCTTCACGTTCCACGGTCACACAGCACGTGTAAACAGGTCAGTGGAAGGTTCAGGCCTACCGTCGCGTTCTCCGAGGATTCTCGATGGATCGAAGAAACTCGGAATTATTACCCCCCTGTGGTCTTGGCCGTGGTCTGCCGCGCTCGATCGATGCTAGCGACGAGACTCGAATGAGAGGGACCTGATTCACTGAACGAGGCAGCGTTCGAAGCAGATTATTATCGAACAGAGCGCTCTGATTACTAACCCGTGCTCTTTTGTGAGGGTATCGAACGGTCGGTCGCAAGAGTCATTGAGGCTCTCCGCAGAAATCTCAAGACGTTTTTTGAGGAGGAGCCAGCTCGGCGATACTATGCTTGTAGTTTTTTTCCAGAATCGTTTGCAATGGAAACTTCATCATCTCCTCATCAATGGACAAGACGATCAGAGCATGGCATTTTCATGCAGAAATGTTGGCACCTCAAAACATTCTAGAAGACATACCGGACGAGGAATTGGCAGAAGCTGCGCCTGGAATTACCGAGGAGCAGGATCTTGATCTCATAGAAGCTGCCTTATTGGCCAGGAAATTCAGCATCATCTCCGCTAGGGACGACAAGATTCTGATAAAGTCAGTGAGGTTCCTGCTCTCCCATTCGTAGATCTCAATGATAAGAGAATGCGGAGATTTCTCATTCCTAAAATCGGTCTTCTAAATCTCATCAGGCCCCGCGATTCGATTGTCTCGGATCTCGGAACCCAAGCGACCTTCGATGGAGTATCGCAGAAATCCTTTGAAGAAATATACAATCAGCGGAAGAAGAACAAGCATAAAGACTGCATACAAGTTTTTAAGGTATCGTATGATGAACCTGGAAATCCTGCTGGGAATGAGCGCCGATCCACCGAAAGTTTGAATCGCAGCCACGAAAAGTCGAGCTTCTCAAACTAATCCTTTCCTCTTAAGGGTCACCACAAGGGTGTCTTCCCGATTCTGTTCATTCCGTTCGTGGGGGACGCTCAATCTGATGAGAATGAAGATGGCCTCGAGGGGAGTACGGGACCAAAAGGCGATATCATCATTTCCGGGAGCTTCGATTGGTCGGCACGGAGCTGGGATCTGTACACGGGCAAATGCTTGAAAGTGAGTCTCGCGCGGAAATTCTCAGTGATCGAACCGACGATATCCTAACCGCTTTCTTCTCCTGCGAAGCGCTGCGGAAGGCTGAGCTCCCGGGATTATATCTCACACCTCAATGAAAGCCTCTTCATTGCTGTCAAAGCCTATCGTTTACGCAGGAACATCCCTTTCGCTATCAAATGCAACAGAACCGAGAGCTTGCTTGAATGGGGTTCACGTAGGCTTAATTGGAGCTGCGAGGTCAGAGGTTTCGGTTCAGAGGCTTCAACAGCGTGACTCAGAGGCTACGCGGAAGTCAGTGCTACGGCTCAGAATTACATAGCAGTACCACGGAGGATTCCGCGTGACACTATCATGTTTATTCTGAGTAGCTTTATAATTTACATTCTTGATGAATCAACGATGAATGCTGTGTTGGACTCTCCGACGTTCTGAGAGACTGAAACATCGCGGGAGCTCCTGAACGATACGCTACATTTTTGTTGCACCTGTTCCTCTTGCGACGCTAGCTCCCGATACTTTCGGAGAGCAATCGACTCGAATGCTCCGCCTTGATTTATTCGTCGTAATGGAAGCCCCGGATCGTTTTCCAGACATTCAAAGGACACACGCAGGCCGTGAACGATTTGGCGGTGGACCCCGAGGCCGAGTACCTATTCACGGGCGGTGGAGACGGATCCATAAGGCAATGGGTCCTTCGAACGGGGGAATGCAAGCGAGTCCTCGTCGGACATCAAGGACCCGTGGTCTGTCTGATCGTGAGTTCCGAGAGAGCCAGTCATTTGGTCGCACTCCGTTGACTACATCGATTCTCAGCCCGAAAGCTACCTCCTAATCACCGAGGGGTTCATTCTCCGAGGCCAATCGGTGACCGAGCGAAAGTTTTATTGAGTCGGCGATCGCTTCCAGACACACGCGAAAATGCTGTACTCGGGGAGTGCGGATGGAACCGCGCGATCTTGGGTCATGGAGTTCGGGGAGTCGACCAGAGTTTACCGCGGAGCCGCCAAAACAGTGGAGTGTTTGCGGTATTACGACAGAATGCGTGAGTGTATATGGTCTTATGTATTTTCGCTAGAAATCGTCAGGTCTCACTTCAGGGGCTTCGGAATCTAGGTCGTCCCGATATGAAGCAGGCGCTGCGCCAGCTCCGGAGATTGAGAGTCTCGCCATCGATCTGTCATTGGTCTTATTTCATTAACATTTGGCTTTCGCAGTCTTCGCTGGGTCGAGCGACACTTCGGCACGGATGTATGAAGCCAAGTCGGGAAGCCATAAGCGGTCATTCCATGGCCACGAAAACAGCATTACATGTCTAGAGGTGAGCGAATTTTCGACATTTCCAAAGCTCCACGAACTACGGATACTATGACTCCGCAATCGCGTCGATCCCTAAAATGCTTTTTGAATTCGCGTTCCCTAAATGTTACTGATCGTTCCAAAGGTGACTCGGGGCCGTCTCTTCACGGGATCATACGACGGAACTCTCTTCGTTTGGGATACGACGGGTGTCGTGGATGAAACGGTGTTCAATGTCGAAGAAGAGCCCGAGGACAGTGATATAGAAGAGGACGATGAGAACGTCCAGAAAGCGATGCGGATACTGGATGGCTTCGTTCACGGAACGTAGCGACTGATCCTTCCTTACAACGACATTCTTCTTGTTGATTACTGTATATTTGATGTATGATAAGAATGTAGAGCTCAATCTGTTTTAATTCATCGAGTTTCCCACCATCGAATGTGGGACCTGTCGAATGATGGAAAATATCGAAAATTATCTCCAAGAAAAGCTCGTCCTTCTTCCGTACGCATCCTGAGTCGACGAAGCCCCAGAGGTAGCTCGTAGCGACGGACCCAAGATTGGCAGGGCAAGGAGTCACGTCCTCACCGGACGCGTGCCCGGGACGGCATCCTTCGGAGGAGACGAAACCGTTCTGAAAAGCTCTATCGGACAGTCCCGGTCTCGCTGCTGTTTGCAGTGAGGTTATCAGAGACACTTTGAGCTCCGATCTCACAAGGGAGGCGCCAGAATCTGTGCTTCTTTCCCCCGATATAGCGCTCGAATCTGAATTACTCTCCGTCGGCTCACTACATCACGCTTCTAGTCTCTACCCCTAGTTTCATGCTCGTTAAGCATCGCATTGCATCTAGAGACGGCTCGTCGCCCTCTCTGTGTGATCTCCTCCTCCGAGGATCAAATCAGCCCCGACAAGGCGGTTCTCCGCCGAGCACTCTTCCGAATATTTCGGATGAGAGAGTATTCGTGGTAGGATATGATCTTAGCGAGAGAATGATTCTCCGGCCGTCCGATATGATCAATAACCGGAGTCTCGAAAGCCGAGCCGTGCCTCAAAACTCTCATTATGACTACAGCTCACAGTTTTATTGAATCACTTCCCTTCACAAGTCGCGACGAACTGCTTCCATTCGTTCGATTTAAACTCGAAGGCTCCTCGTTCAGTAACGATAGCTGCGGAGAGAATAATCTTGAGACATCGGCGCGCACCATATGATTTTATGCTTCAGGACTCTACGAGAATTGGTTCCCAGCCCGGGACCGCTCGAATCAGTTTAATCACCTGTGACGAGTTCGTTCGGAGTAACATCGAAAGCCGGATTCCAGCAAGGAGTTCTGATCCGCTTCGAAACTTCGCTTGCAGCTCTTTCTTCTATGGGAATCTCGTCGCCCGAAGACTTGCGCACATCTATTGTCGTGGAGGGACAGGCAACCAAAAACGGTACCTTGTGATACTTCGCGGCGATGGCAGCCTGGAATTTCGGATGGGTGAGACAGAGCCTGATCTGACATTTCCGGGGAATCCCATTGAAAACTCAGGCCGACGAGACCGTGAGGAGCGGGTGTAAACCCGCCCTCGACTGGGGTCCGACTGCAAGGGGGAATCTACACGGCTGTACAATCCCATCGCGAATCGCAGCACGTCTGTACGCCCCCAGATGAGGTCGTACCTGATATGTGCCGATTTTATTCGCAGTGTCTCCGTTCGAAGTGACACGATCCGCTCCCACGACCACAGCATGAATTTGCTTTTTCTTCATCAGGAATGATACCATATTATCGCAGATCATCATTGAGGGGATTCCCTCGGTCGCCTAGAATTGCGGTACAGCAAACACTCAGATGTCGAATCTCTCATCCGCCGCCTCGCTCGAAAACCTTAAAGGGGGTCACAGCGGTAGCTTGCTCCCAAGTAAGAACAGTGATTTCAGAGATGCGAACCAGTTCATAAGCAGTGAGTCTTTCACCCTGATTGTAGGGCCTGGTTTCTGTGAAATAGGCGGTCTCCAATCGGTTTTCTTCGTGCAGTTTGCGGATGACTCCTAGCGCGGTGCCGTATCCTGCTGTCGCCAAGCTTCCAGTATTGCACACCGTCAAGACATTGACCTGCCAATGGCTCGGAGGGAATCAAGGAGACACGGACGAGCACGAATGAGACTCGGACATATTACCAGAGGAACCCACCTTCCCCGCTGGGATTGCGCGGAGTATATATTCTGCACCAAACCTCGCGAGAGATTTGTTGGTTTCGACGTCTCGTCGGTACATGTCTTCAGCTGCCTCAATTATTTTCTGCCTATGGCTCGTGCCGTTCGTGTCTACATCGTTCAAGAGACTCGAGCTGAGGGCCTAGAGAGAATATTCAACAGAGTCGTGTAGGATCCTGGGGTTTTTCAGCCGTTTCGTCCCGTCTCTAGATGGGCTGAGAGTATTCCCAGCATATCGATCTTTCACCTTGAATTCCTCAGCGGCGTTCTTCATGTTCACAGCTGTTGGTCTACTGGTGACCAGATGGTCGAGTGCGCGGACTATCTCTCGATGGATCTCAGCTTTTTCCTCCGTTTCCATGCGCTCCAACAGGACGGCAACGCTCAGAACACCAACGATGGCGATAGCTGGTGCTCCACGGACCTAGAGCCCAATAAATTCACGGTCTTACTCACGATCACAGTTACTAAAGATTCTGATTCGGGTCGTGATGATTGCTACATATATGCCAGGGGCGAGTCCCGGACCTGCATCTTGTTGATGGCATTCCACGCATCGTCGATTGTCCTGATCTGGATCATTTCGGTCTTCTCAGGCAGTGAGAGCTGATCAAGAATACGCAGGGATCCTCGCTCATAGAAGATAGCCGAACATTTCGCTCCCTGATCTGCCATAGTAGAGCTGTCATACGGAGAGACAGAGAGGAACAGGATTAGTCTGACTCTGATATCACTCCATCAAGTCCAAGATAGACAGCGGAAGGCGTATGCTTCATATTCTCCGGGGCCTTCTATGGTTCATCTTACCTGATGTGATTTCCGCCTGATTTGCTCGTCTCTTCCCACGACTAGCACAAGGATTCTCACGGTATGCGGTCTCTCGCGAGACACCGGTCTGTCTGCTACGGGCTGTTTGCGCCAGGGGAGAGGGGACAAGTTCCAACAACAGAGTCGCTTCTGGAGATCGCGAGCAGCTCCGCGAGTCCAAGCTCGAAATTTCAGAGAGGCCATTGAGCTCCGCATGATTTCGCGCACAGATCGAGGGTTCGATCAGTGTATCCTCAACGCGAGGCTTTCGGGGAAGAAGGTCCGATTCCTCGAACCCCCCGTGGAACGAAACCTCCTCGAGAGTTCATGCCTGTGCGGAGCCTCTGTCAGAACTCCCGAGCTGCTGCCGCTGGTATTATCTCTTGCATGGCTGAGCGAATCATTCATTTTTCCCGGTGTACTGAAACTGCTCCGAGGTCACCGGAGGCGAAATGGCACAGATCTGATTCCAGCGAGAGCACCCTGTGAGTGAGTTAGTAACTAATGTCAAATCAACGTCATGCCTCCTAGGCGACATCCGTTTCCAGCGGGGAAAAGTTTTGGCAGGTCACGGCCCCGGAAACCGATGATCGCGTATCCGACAAAGAATCACGAAACCGTAAATATCACGTATCATTTTCCGCCGGACTGCCACGATTGGCCCTCCCATGTACACATAATAATTGTATAGTTGGGTGGAATTTCAGTCCCATGTGATGGAGCCACAATCTCTCGTTTGAGGACTTACGCTATCCGTTGATCCACAGCCGGACCTTCTGGAAAGTAGCATATTCCCTCGCACAATCTGAAATTCATCGAAATTCTCCTTATCGTTGTAAACCCGACGGCTACGTATCGAGCTGGACTCCGTTATATGCCAGAGGCTCTCTATCGAATTTCTCTCTGGCAACAGCCGGGAGGAGTAGCATTCGGGGCTGCAATGAATCGCTAACTCGTTTGTAGATGTTGAAGATCGTCATCCCGTCACCAAAGAGGTTCAGGGCTCCTCCTTCGGGTTCAGGGCTTTGTTGTGCGTTTCCCCCTAAGCGACTTCAGGTTTCGATCTCAGACCTCCACCCTGAGTCCCGAGGAGGGAGTAGTCCTCAGCAAAAGTCGTGGATACACTGGAACTCTTCTACCGTGTTTCCCCGAATATAAGCCGGGGCTTATATTCGCCAACTACCCGGAAAAAAGCAGGAGGGCTTACTTTCGGGGCAGGGTTTGTTTCAACTTATGAGACAAATCAGAATGACAACAAAAATCCGAATTCGACAAATTACCACGATGATCGTCAATCGAATACGACAATCTCATCCTCTTCTGTCACGTCTTGTTCACAATCTAAATCTAAAGCCTGAAGAACCCCCTCAAGCCTCTGACTTTCGATCGCAGAGCGATCCCTTGGGCCGAGACGCTCGTGTTTCCCGATGTAACTGTCCTCAAAGGCATGACTTTTATCGAGATAGCCTGCGCGGAGAGCATTCGCGACACACTCATTCGAAATCGTTCCCCGAGATTTCCTGACCCACGAGACAACTTCACTCAGAGGGGGTTTCACGAAACCCCGCATGTTCCTCTGCAGACGGTGCTCGATGAAATCGTTGACGTTCGAGCGCAGATAATCTTTGAATGGTTTATTTATGGCCAAGTCCAGCGTCTGAAGATAACCTGTCTTGCCAGCGGGAATCATGATCTGATCAACGCCCCTACTCGCGAGAAATTTCTTCATGCCTCGGGACAATTATATGGTACTTATCGCTATTTCTGAGGTTGAATACCTACAATGTGGACTCGCAGACCGAATTGCTTACTTTTGGGCTGGGGCTGGCTTACTTTCGGGGTAGGGCTTATTCCAGCGATGAGCCCGAAAATTCGTGTGGGGCTTATTTTCGGGGTAGGGTTTATATTCGGGGAAACACGGTATATCGCTAATTAATTCAATATATGGAGGAGACTCGGATGACGAAAATTCTCGAAGATTGATCACCCGTGGTCCGACCAGAACATCACAGCACGAGCCGTGTATTCGTCCAGTTGCGAAAGTGGGAGGAACGGGTGCAGAGAGAAAAAAGGACGCGAAGCGTCCTTCATATCGATGGTTCACTATCGACGTGCGTTTTTCGGGACTGAGCCACGGTGCGGAAGCGATCCTTCTCCCTTCCAAACTCGGAACAAGATTTCTATCATCGCTACACTGTGACGACGCTCGCATCAAATGACGTTTCTGAAACAAAAGATGACTCTGGAGTTTCCACGGAACGTAGGAACGAATTCCAGAAAAATTCTTTGTCTCGTACAGCGCCGCTAATCGCCCCCATCTGAAGCGCAAAACAACTCTCCTGGACCGGATCGTGCGTCGATTTGTCCAAAGGTTTTTTGTGCGTAGACTATCGACCTCATCTATCTCAATACGGGTCCAACATCAGAACGCGAGAGGGATCATCGGTGTTGTGCTCTCGGCTTTCGCCGGAAATCCTGACGATTCCGTCGCCTTCTTACAGCGATGGATAGGCACGCTGCCGGACACTCGGACGAAGTTCGCGAGTGAAGACGTCGGCCTCAGGGTCGGCGTCCGAAGAGCTGCGGGCAGAACTCCTGTAGGTGCCCCGCGCAGATATAGCATTCTCGGGAGCTGAATTTCCACGTAGACCGTGAACGAACTGGAACAGACATTCCAGATGCAACTTTTGAAAACGAAAGGCGGCTTACGTTTCTGCGAGACTCCTGTGGCGAGACTCCAGCTCCATTTGATCGGCGATGTCTGAACGCACCTTGATGAATCGATCGGATTCCGAGTACCGAACACAACTCAGGAATAGGAGGCGCAGAAGTGCCACTCGAAGTCTAGTATGCGCCTGATATCATCATTTACGCGGAAAAACAGATGAGCCGTTATCGTTCGGAACCCTCCTCAGCGTCTGACAGATATTCGTCTACAGGAAGAGGTGGATCCGGGTAGATGATGAAGGGTCGTACCGGTTGTCCATAGAAATTCCTCTCATTTCTTTCAACTACCATCTCTCATTATCAGCAGTCGGATAGCTGGTTTTTCCTTCCTGTGTCGGCCATAATCGTAGTTTCGTTTTGCGCCCCAAATGATGAAGAGAGGCATACTTATATCTCAAACGAGGGCGAATACTTGCCACGATTCTGCGTAGCTTCCCGATCCATATTATCGGATCGAGAATAGAACCGGGACCGGTCACAGGGAAGTGATTCCCGCGACGACTTCCACGACGCTCCAACAAAATGGAAAAACCACTCATCCACCGCAAATTCTGTGGTGTCGCTGCCCTCCTTTGAACCCTCCGCTCGACTGCTCCTGGAAAATATCTCGTTCACCCACGAGCATGCTTTGATTCTCGATCATCTGGAGAATGTTCGAAAAGAAAGTAAACAGGTGTTTTGCCATGCGAGCTCTTCAATCGCTGCCACGCCAGAAGACCGGAGCGAGAGGACAAAACGCAGAAATGGAACCTCGATGGCGCCAGCGAGCCCAATTAGTGAGTCACTTTACGTCATGGTGCGCCGGCGTTCAGGTACCGCGGGGAAAATCATTGTTTCGCTTGGCGCAGTGGCTTGCGAGCTGTGACGTTCGCTCAGGGAGCACGAACAACACGTCCAACGGTTCTCGCTGTGACGGAAGGAGTGTATCAGGCGATCCGAAGCATGAGAGAGCATGAGTTCGATGAAGGAAGAAAGAAATAGAAAATCGGCGGCCCAGACAATGCAACGAGCGAAGCGCTTGTTGACAACGGAGTCTCAGGAAGACCAAGCGCGTACGATGAAGTGCCAGGTAGCCAGCATGCGATTTGTTCAGCCAAGCAATCAACCAGCCAAAGAGTCAGCCGCTGACCCCAGAAGGGAATCCCCGAAAGTGTGAGTTCCTTTCGCTGGAGAGGAGAAGCATTTAAAGAGTCGTGAGCCAGCGAGAGCCTGACAATCAACAATCAGTCCGACAACAAACCGCTAGTCGGACCAGAGACTTTCGAGTTTGATATTAGAACCGAGAACCTCCGAAAATGTTCAGCGGATTTAGAAAATACCGAGTGCTCATCTCCGTGGCTCTCTTCCTAGTTCTCACCGTCCCCTCATGTGAAGCGTACATGGCTCAGATCCCAAGAGTGAAGACGATCAATGGTGAGCCTGATTCCTAGATTTTGCCGACCACCCACGTCCTGATGTCGGTCCATTGATGTCCCATATCCCGATGGACCATTCTACCTCGAGTGCTCCGAGATCACCGGTTTCCTTGCCAGGAGAATCGTGAGAAGGATCGGCCCGATAGTTTGTGGAGCTCAAGGACTAGGTCTTGAATAATCGGAGTCGGCCTCTTACGTTCGAGGACTCATTAAAATAGCCGTTCATTCAAAGAGGAATCAGGGGTGCACCGGACGCAGCGGACTCACTCGGAATTTTCGGGAGAAGTCGCAAGCGACATTTCCTGAAGGCGTGAATTCCTTGCAGGAAACTGTATCCACCCAATGTTCGGTAGGAAGATACCAGCCGACGAGTCCTACTACCCGAAAGATGTTTGCGAGAGACATACGTGCGACTACGCCCGGAAGTAAGATACGGATTACGGGATACGATTCTGGGTTTTCTGCCGCCCCGAAGACGACATGTCCTCCATCAGAATTTGCGACTGAGCTCTTAACTCTCTTTTAAGGACCATTACAATCTACGGTTGCGGTGTGGTGATGACGGCCCCCGGATGCCAAGCAGTTACCGACCCCACCAAGAAATACCCCAACTGCTGCATGCCCAAGATCGTGTGTCCGTGAATCGTGCCAAATCTAGGTCGAGGTTGCCCCCGTGATAGTTCTGCTTGTATTCGGAACAATTTCAATACGTCTCCCTGGTACGAAGATGTGCGATGGACGTTATCATTCGCGATTTCTCAACGCGAGAAATCTCGCTAGACCAAAGCTGTGTATAAATGAATTTACAATTAGCTAGGAGTCAGAATAATAAAGTTTCGAATGCTTGTATTTTCGATTACGTATCGGTTTCTGTTCCCTGGTCTCATCGTGAGATTTCCCCAGGTCGCGAGCTGGGCGTGTTATGACGCCGACTTACGATCGGCTTGGAACTCAACAAGTTGATTCAGTGCTTCAAACCGAAGGCCTGATGAGAAGCACGACGGATTCGGTTTCCCAGAAGAGGGATCGTGAGCTTCTCCTACTGAGCTCTCCTGGAAGGGCATAACCCCGAACGCTGGCTAAGATTGCGCGTTACCCCTGCGTGAACTTGTCACGAGTTCGGGGAACATGGGGTACGTGAACGTTTCCCAGCAGAATGAAGAATATTTGCCCGGGAGGCACAATGTTGTGAGCACTTGGTTGGATGCGCAGCATTCACCGACTTCCGTAATGACCTCAGCTGCCCCCAGGTGGTTGGAAGATGAACTTTGTTTTCATCTATCCATATTCATCCCACATACTTCGGACGCAGGCCTCAGAAGACTGTAATTTCAAGCGATATTCCGCAGGGGGAAGATTTCACAATGTGGAAACGCGCAGCTCGCTTGTAAACTAGGATCGGATCCTACACAGAATATCCAAGCGCTAGTTTCTGGACTGAACTCAATCCTGAACGGGCGTGAAGCGACGATAGTAAAAGTGACGTCACTTCCTCCAGTGTGCCAGCTCATCGATCGAAGTCGCCGTAGCGAAGTATACGGGAAATGCTTTCTGCTCTTTCTACAAGGAACCTGTGCTATATGGCTGGGAGGACTCAGTGGGACGTCGGTGACGGTAAATATCTTTTGAATCTCCGCGACTACTTGGCGCCCATGCACAGGGAGTACAGTCTATTTGGGAATAGTCTTCGAATCTTCCCGCCCGGGATTATCGCGACTTCTCGAGCTCGACCAAGTTGCTGACTCTTTCCGTGAATATTCAAGCCGAGAAGCTCTCTTCCCGTTTCTCATCATCCCTAAATCGCTAATTATCGATAAGAAATCGTCTTTCACTCCGCATTGCATGTAGATTGGACCGACCGAGCCCGACCGATGTGTCCGTGTTCCAAAAGTCTCCTCAGAGCCCATCCCGACGCTGCGGGCATATTCTTGTGCCGTCGTAGTTCCTGTGTCAACCAATTGCTGTCCTTGGAAGGAGTGAGTTCAGTTCCGCCGAGAATCCTATCAGAAGCGAACATCCCGTGACTGTGTCTTTTCTTTTCGATATCCGAATCAGCTCGACTCCACCATAGCCATACCCCTGAACTGCGAGACGCAATATCCCAAGTTGAACCCGAACGCTCCAGAATTTGTACCCGGATCCAAACAGGCAGGCGATGAGTTGAGGGAAAAGCCATTCGAATAAAATGTTCCGAATTATTGAAACCCGGTGGCGGAATGTCCGAGCTCTTCTCGACTTCTCGGATGGATCTTGATTGAAGGTTTTTCAGGATGTAGCGGACGGTTTAGGTTTTCTCGTGTTCTCGTCCGGAACGCTCCTTATTCTCTTTATCCCTAGACAGTCGGCACGATCAGTTTAAGGTCGAAAATTGGATTTCGAGGATGCACACTTATAATCATCTGTGACATACCTCCGGAACGAAGTATAGGGCAACGGAGGAAACAGTTATGGGTATGAGTTGAGATTGAGCTTTATTCCCTAAGAGTGCTCGATTCGATTGAGTCCGGATTCTTCAGGTAAATCGCATCGAGTGAGTCTACGGGATTGGTATTAAATAGATCTGGTTCCTCATTTCTTTTTCCCTTCAGTTTCTGTTACCTCTCAGTGATGAATGACGGTGGTGAAAAGAGTTATTTGATAGGGAGAAGACATGAATAATGGCAGAAGAAGTTCATTTTCACTCGAGCTTCAAGAGCTCGACGTCGAAAATCAAGGTCGAGTTCGGCGGAATGATGCCGGGGTGTCCTCTGGATCCGTAGGCGTAGTCGGGACTGCAAGTTAGAGTAGCGCGCTCGCCGACGGACATCTTCGCGACGCCCTCATCCCAGCCCTTGATGACCTCTCCACGTCCAATCTTGAACTTGAAAGGCTTCTCGCGGTCTCGGGACGAGTCGAACTTCTTGCCGTCAGTCAGAGTGCCGGTGTAGTGCACGACCACGGTTTGTCCAGCCCTCGGATAGGTGCAGCAGTCGCCTTCGCGAGTGGTTTTCACGTCAACTCCCATGATGAAGCCTGATCGGAAAAGAGAGAGTCATTGTTATCGGCTGCATAGTGCGTTTCGCAAGTCGGTCGAGCAACGGACCACTGCTGTGTGGAGACTGAGGATTCGAGAATAACTCGCAGCGAGGCCGCTAACGAAGTGGATCTCCCGCGCTATATTTAGAGGCGCTCTCCCGCGCCCGGAGCCCGACCTTGTAAGGAGTTCGCGAGCTTACTGCGCATCGCTAGAAGGCCTTTCTCGTGGATATCCACGAGGCGATTGTACATTTGTACACAAAAACACCTGAGGTCATCAACAAGTGTGTGTCTCGGGGCAGTCAGATGAGACCGATAAGGGAGATCCACTCTACTCTTCCAGCAAGTTGGGCCCAGAGGAAATAACCCCAACTCGGACACTGCTGACAGGTACATGGATACAGCCTCAATCTTGCCGACTCCGAGGGCGAAACGATGTAAGAACGGGGAAAGCATGATAAACGAGGCCTCCCATAACGACAACCGAACGAGAGAAAATCGTGATCTGCGTAGAGAGCGGGTTCGTGAGAGATAAGCGTCAGAAATCATGACGCATGCATCTGACTCCAACAGTTGGCTTTGCAGCACATCGCCGCGGTCTTAGCTCCACACGCCGGATCGAATCCGATCAGGATCCGCGATAGGCACCCGTCTCGAGGCACGAGTTCAATCTCGAGCAGGTACCCACTACTGTCGGAGCCGCGTTTTCCCGGTCTCGAAGAGCCCAACTCGTGGTCAGGTTCAACGACACGCCTCCACCGGGTTAGTCGTCGACGCCGCTTACGCGAGCCGGCGACTCCCGCTTCACGCTCGAGTGGAACCCTAGCTGGCATTTGGGCAATTTGCCGGCGGGGGGAAATATATTTGACTTCGTGGTCGGACTCGCACAGGATAGCGGGATACCTGCGATAATTAGCGCCCGAGAGAGAAAACCGGTCCAGCAAAAACTTACTTTCGCGGAAGCAAGCGGCACCAAAACGACGAGTAGCGCTGGTGGTGATGATGGAGTCTGTGATGCCTCTCCGGGTGAAATAGGCCTAAGCTGCGAACGGCGCCGAATTTTGAATTTCCGATCAGGAGCTCGGAGCTGTCTAGTCACGCTCGAACTCCGATGCCCCAATATTCCCGTTCCCTCATTCCGGAGCGGGGACCCTAACCTGCATGCTTGAAAACACAAATGAAGTCGAAGGTCGGGACTTGGTAGTCTCCGATGACTGAAATATTGCTATTCGACGGAAGACGCGCATGCTGGACCCACATAAACAAAGAGAAAGCCGCGGAAGGCACGAGGTTGGAACTCGTCGGTGCGCGAACTGGAAACCGTCGGAATTATACCTTCGTCAGCACCATGGTTAAGAAGGCGACGATTTTCATGAAGTTCGTGAATGGACAAGTTTCAAGAGGCTGTAAGTGGAAGCAGATGTTCTCAGAAGGCGACCCTCCTGTGGCATTCGGGCCTGGTTCGATTCGCTTCCCGAGTTTCACTCCACCGAAGTCGGATGCCTCTTTCTGACCGCGGAAGTTTGACGGATCGTGCGTGGAGGCTTCTTTGTTGGATTGATTATAGAATCATTCCGGCGAGGAACTCTGGCCGGGTCTCGAGGAATGACGAAGAACGCCAGTCGCTATCACTCGGGCATTCCATCCCCTCGCTAGGTCTCACTCAGTATCTTGCTGCGCTAAAAGTACGCGAAAGACAGGAATTGATGAGACATTTCTGAGTCGATCATCGTCCTGTTTTTCATTCTCCTCCCGGATCGCAGCAGAAAGATACCGAGTCTGATCCTTTCTGGGCCATCCTTGAGTTTGCCGCGGAGGGGGGGGATCGATGCTGATGCTCCGCATATAAGCTAAACGGAGTCCCGACCCTCCTCGCAATAGATTCATGCTCTGAATCTCTTGTATGTCTCTTGTATGTTGCAGACTGCGTGAATCGGATTACGCTCACAAATAGAGAAGTCATCGCCAAACGAAATGCTCTATTCAGTGAGGAACAGGAGAGACAAGCCGCCTTGGTGCGTCGTGTCGAGAAGATTCGCGTCAAATACACAGGAATCCCGAAGGAATGTACAATGGTGATGAACAAATCAATCTCAACGCCCGCAGATTGCTTGAGACGTGAGTAAGACGAAAATATGACTGCGTGGTTGGCTTGCATAGGTAGTTTGATGTCTCCAGGGAGTGACGAGTCGGGTAGAGTTCCAAGATCAGGGACGCCTAACCAGGAGGAATCACCTAATCCAAGTAATCCAGAGTTCTGGTAGTGTTCAACTTCTTCCGCCAAAACAGATCTGCCCGAACGGATGCTACAGCTCTCGGTCCTCGCGTACGTCAACGGCGAACCGTGGGATATGTCGAAGCCGCTCGAAGAGGATTGCGAATTGAATTTCGCTCACTTCAAGGACTTCGACCCAAGGAAGTTGCTGACCGTGAACAAAGCCTTTTGGAGATCTTGCAGTTACTTGTTGGGTGAGATCCGGGAACCATTCGATCTTCCCATCTCAAGCTCATTGATGAGAGGGATAGCCGACTGTGAGATGGGACCGGCATGCAGCACCATCTACGGGAGGCTGCCAGAGAACCGCCACTATCGGCGCGACTCCTGACTCGAGGCTTTCTAATTCTTTTCGCTTCGATGCAGGTTTCGCTATCGAACGTTCCTTCAAAGAAGATCACAGAGTCTTGCTCCATTCTTGGCCAGCTCCGCAGATCAAGAGTGGATCATTCGTGTACGATGCCGTACTGCCCTTGGAGAACTGGGAACCGAATGATAGAGAGTTACGCGCCCTCGGGAACCCAGTGCGTAAACTGCAACCGGAAAAAGCGAGCTTCGAAAGGCTTGAGGTCGAGCCTGCGCTTGCGAAGGAGATTTTTGAGGACAACCCTTACAAGCACTCAGTGGTCGACAGTTTCGCGGAATCTACAGAAAACAAAAAAGTGATTCTATACCGGTGTAAAGATCACGTCGACATAAGTCGGGGGCCTATGATCGGCAATACGGGATTCATCCGAGACTTCGGTGTCGCTTCGGTTCATGCCTTCGAGACGGGAATTGGGCTCGTGTACCGATTCCAAGGCATTGCCTACCCCAGCGCCTTCACGGTAACTTCGATATCTTCGCTTTTTGAGAATGTATCTCGATAGGTACCGTCTTGTGAATAACTCGAGGATAATCTCCAACTTTCCTCTCCCGCAGATGAGTCCTTTCGCCCTAGGTGTCTTGAGAGATAGAGCGAAAATCATGGTAAGACCTTCTATATTCGATAACTCTGAGACCGCATGAACAATGATCAGCAAAGCGGAGAAACCTAGAGGAAATCTGCCTACCACAGAACATTTTCCCTCTCAGAACACAACTGGTCTACCAAACGAGTTGAACCGTGCTCCGGGCGATTCGAAATCTGAGTCAACAACGGAAGCTGAAGTTCCCGATACCGATGACGAAAACGAACAGACGACACAAGCTCATAAAGCCGCTCAATGAGTCGGCGAATTCTAGACTGGTGCTGTCAATAGTTTGCGAATGATGATAGAATGTCAACGGAGATGCACTAGGTACGTCACGGAAGCTTTGCATATACTTGTTCTAATGAAAAATGAAGAGAAGTTCAGTAAACCTGTGGAGTGTAATTCTTCGCCTCACGAGCAGTACGGACTCTCATAGGGCAATGAAGACACAGCGTGTAACAGGGACTTAGAATAACAGAGAATTTTATATCCATTTGTTGAAACACTACTCTCGTTCACGTATATACAAAGTAGACAAAATATTTACATGATGATCCAATTATATAGACAGCATCAGCAATAGTGGTCGAGGATCAGTCATGATTGGTCATTTTACAGAAACTATAGATCAGTAACAAATCAAGCGAATTTATCGCGTCCGTCTCTATGCTTCGAATCATTACACAATGCGGGATTTCCTTCATACTCTCGGATTAGGCAAACATGGTGAGACGGTAAATCCATCGGATGAGCAAAGCGATAGGTTCTTCGCTCTCTCAGTTTCATTTGATCGGAGTTCCAACTATTTGCTGATCCCCACCTGGTTACTGCTGGCTTTTTGGGAGTCGATTGAATAAGACGATGGAGATATTGATTGACGCAATTTTTCCCGATGGTAGCGACGCTCGCCACGCGCTCTTCCCCAGTACATATGTGTATATATATATATATATATATGTATATCATCCTTGTAGATAGAATCGCGACGAAGATAACAGCATCAGTAATAATTATTATTATATAATAATCGTGGTATTATCAATCATTTCATCATCAGCGACGATAGAAGTTATAATGATCATCTTCAGAGAGAGAGATAGAGCGAGACTTTTGCCGCAAGGTCAAACTTGGAGGATATACGTAGGGATTCGGGGCTGTCGATGAGACAAGTGAAATCCTCATAAAGCTGCATTCATAGGGAGCTCGGAAACATATCACCGTAGAGAGCAGACATCGAACCTCTTCTCGATTCGAATCCTCGCTCCCGAATCGCCTCCCGAAACTTAACTTTGAGTCAACACCAAGAAGTCGGGAACGCTATCACCGATTTATAGAACAACCTCGGGAAAAATTCAGGACTCCTCACACTCAGAGACGCCCCCCGTTATAGGCAACAAGAGAGGCGTTTTGAGCCGTTCAGCTCGATAGCGAAGTGTTCGTTCCACGTCAGACTAGACTCAATCACTAGACCACTTCAATTGGGATTCGCCAGCGTTTTCGTCGATTTAATGCCGCCCAGCAGCGATCTCTCCCCACAAAGCGTCAGCCCGATGTTTGCTCGGAAGGTTCATCAATCGGGCGTGCGGCCAATCGATCGATCTATGCACCTCTCAAATTATGGAGCCGACGGGATGCTTCGCAAGCTTAAAACGCTACCCTTCGTGTGAGTATCCCCGCCTACCTGATAAGTACATTTTTTTGAGCCACGAAAACCAGCAAAGGACTGTAGGTACATAAATTTTTGGAGCGAAACGGCTAATGGAGCTGACGGAGGGACTTTGGTGTTCTGCGGACCCTTCGCTTGAGTCCGCCTCCTGAGCGGGGATAGAGCATCCGGGGAAGATAGCGAGAAATCAGCGCCGCAGCAGGTCAGCAGCGACCGTCTTCCTTTTCGCTGCGGGTTCTCTCGCTTCTTCCCCGAGGAGAGCAATCCCGCGAGTACGATGTCGCTGTTTATATCGTGTAGAGATTTAAAAGGATGATTCAGTAGAAATATAGACTATCATTGCAAAGGAACGCCGCCAACGATATTGGGCACTTCCTGATTTACCGAAGCTGAGAAGCCGCTGCGGTTCGAGTGTTTACCTCAAAAATCCCCGCCATCGAACGCTGCTCTCAGGTATCAGCGCTCTCCTCTTGCGGACAACTCGACTCGTCAGTCAGAGGGGGGATGCGGGCGAGGTGCTCACTTTCTGATATAAGCCACCGATTCTCTATGGAGAGTGGAGAGCCTCTCCAGGTTCAGATTTCTGAGATATTGACTGTATAGTCATGTCTGCTTTCAAAATACGAATCAATAAACGTTTGGTCTTCGAAGAACAACGGTAGGAAAAGTGATAAGTTTCCGACGCGAGACCGGCCCCGCTCTTTCCGTCGGTTCTCGTTCCGGACGGTCCAAAGCGATTCCTAATCTCCCACGACATCCAGTCCTCACTAATGATCTCCCTCACAAGCTTACCGAAGATTGTCTTCAGGAACCCCTGTACACTAAGCATGCACTCGTGCAAGTGCCAAATCTCATTCGGTCTGAGAACATCGAAATCCTGGGGCGAAATCAAAATCGGAGGACAGCAGAGAGCCGTAGCGCTCCGCCTTTTCCGACAACTATAAACAGCGGTTGCCGAAGTGAATCGACAGGTTTTGACTATTCCCGCAATGCTCTGGGAACAGGTGAATCGGGATTCTGATGATCGGAAAATTCCCGTTGTGGCAAGACGAAGATGTCATATTCATCAAAGAGACGCAACAGGAGGCAAACGGCTCGCAGACGTGGGGTCAGTGCGCTTCGTGAAAAGCGGACTTATTCGCACGAATCTTGACCAGGACTCCACTCAAAGCCACGAACAAGCCCTGGAGGGAGCCTTTCTCACGGCATCGAACGATTCCTCGAGAGAAAATCTGTCTGATCAAAACCTTCTGAGATAAGATCCACGCGTCCGTCCAAACTCATCATCGGGTCCTAGTCGCTGCGCATCCGCGAACCGACATGCCCCCGAGATCGGCCGTTTCAATGTAAGTCACGCCACAGAACTTGGAAGGCGTGAATGCCTTCAGCCTTTCCGATGTGACATCAACGAGGAAATGCTCGTGCACTCAAATTTGCTCCCTCGATGTACCTTGCATGGTAAGCGTGATAAACTCTCGAACTTTGTCGTAACACCGCTATCGAGAACCATTTGTCGAAAGAATACATTACTCAAACCTGAACCGTATCCGGGACCGCTTCCAGTCCGAATCGGTACTTCGTAACAATAGAGAAAAAAATTGCACACGACATATGTATAGAATACGTAGAAAAACTCAAACTAATTCGTACAGTCGACAGACCTGTTCCTCCGATCAGTCTCTCGCTCTCACAGCCATCGTGAACAAGGAGTTAAATGGAGGCGAAGCGACGCCCTCCAGGGGCGTCGTACTCTGCCGTAGCAGTCCTTCATGCAACTTCACATGGGCCTCCGCGGCATTGGTGAGAAATTCATGCCCGGCATAGGTTCTTCAACCTTCCCGACAGACCGACACATTCAGCTCGATTATTCTCGCTTCTTCCGTTCGTCTCGCAGCCGATTGATTTTTTCCTTCTTGTTTGGTTCGGTGCCGCATTTTCTCGCAGCCTGGTGTGCATAGTTCATTCTGCCTCGGCCGTCGCTTGAGTAGGCCGCCATCTTCTCGTCATGGATTGATGTCTCCTAGCCTTGTCTCCCGAACTCGGGCTCAGTGATTGCGACCGTGCTCCTCCTCTTCGGCTTTCCCATATTTCGATTGGAGTGCTCGAACATCCCGGGTTATCAGGATATCTCGGGATCGTTCCGGATGAGAAGTTCGTGATCGCGGGATGATCCTAGTCGCCGGCGAGCGAGCTCGTCGATAAGTCAACTCCGGTTTCAACCATAGAATGATTTGCCAGGAACGCGATGCGAAATTCGATGTCGATCTCTCTTTCTCTCTCTCTTGTGAGATATTTCACTGATGTCGTCTCTGTTGCTGTCGCAATCGATGGATGCACTATCGGGGGCGAGCGGTGATATCTCTGCGGTGATATCGCTTCGATTATGAGGTGAATCCTTGCGCTCCGCCCACAGCCGCCAGAATCGCGGCTTCTTGCTCGGGCAGCAACTGCAATCCTTCGAGGTCGATCTGGTCGCCTTGGAAAAACTCCGAGTCGAAATTGATCATCGAATCTAAACTTGGCGCCGAATTATTGAGCTGATTCATTGACTGGAGATCCGGGGGGTTCGGTGAATGGGGCAAAGGTGACCCGGTAGGGGAAGGTGATGGCGTGAAATACTGTCCTCCGCTACCGACTGAAGACGACAGTACCTTCGCCGAGTTATTACTGCACTCGTCCAAGCAAGCTCCGGGCTCTGCAAGCAAGCGCACGCCGAGTTAGATAATGGTTCAGATCTATCTATTTCCGGCAGAGTAATCTCTCTGTCCTAAATGGCAATGTGGCATACGCGAGAGAGCGTATCGCCGAAGAATTTGAATAACAAACTCTGATAAGCGACGTCGACGATCGCGCAGCGCTGGCGGCCCGAGTGGAAGAGCAACATGAATAACAATCGACAACTATGAATGAACGGCTGGCCACACTTAACGATGTGCGAACAACTTGTTTGTTGCGTGACCGTCGACGTCGTTCAAAGTCTTGTTGCAGTTCGAAGGTTTCGCCGAATAGCGTCGAGCCGGTTTCTCAGACATCCACACTCACCAGTAAGAATGATATCAGGGATTCCAGTAGAGCCTGGACTCTGGAGATTGCTGTCGTAATAACTCTGAAGGGCTGGGGAGTGTCCTAGGTCGGGGGATGCTTGGTTCAGCTTATCTAAGTCGGCCAAGTTGTTGTAGTACAAATCGTACATCGCGTTTTGGACAGCCGCTCCATTGCTCATTCTATAGTTGCCGTTACCTCCGCCCACCATAGGGGAGCTACAGTTACCCGACATCTGGAAGGGAAGAGAAAAATCAGTTACATCACTTCGTCTGTCCGGGACGGCGATAATCCATGAAGACAGGTGGTATGGGAAAAGCGAAAATACTCTATGGACCCCTCTGGGGATGCGAACACGGTGGCCAGCACTGTTCATGGAACTTCAAAGAAGGTTCACGGTATTTCCCTCCTCAGGGCCCGCTGGATTTCGGAAGCCCGATGGTGGGCTCCGAAGGCTCGCCCAATGGAGTGCGATCGCGATCGAGTGCGCACACTTGAATAATTTGCGGTGGGCATCAAGCGGATAACGTGCATTCCATCCGCGGAGCAAATGGAATACCATTGAGGTCAGACCGCGGCAACAGCCCGTATGAACGCGAGATCCTTTCAACACATGGACAAGTCCATTGCAGAGGGAAACTATTATCCGCTCCGATATCGTGTTTCGTCGGCCTCTGGTCTAACAGAGTCTCGAGGCTCTGAGCGCGTCAGGTCCCTCCGACACTGCGGGTGCAGGAAAAATCTCAGAAGTCACCAACTCACCATGTCGAAATGGGCTTGAGGTGACGGTTGCTGTTGATAGGTTGGAGTCATCTGGGGGACCTGTAGAATGAACGCTGAGATTAGCCCGCGGAGCCTATTCCACGAATATCCGGCGCAGCGCGACGCCGGAGAGTCCCAGTCCGGAATCTGGATGTCAATCTGAAGCTTCACTCCATTCTGCCTCCCAAGGATAGCTGCCGTAGCGAGTTTGCACTTTCGGAATTAAATTTCCATTGGGAATAGAGGAGGCCGAGGGAGTGGGAGGGAGAAGCAATGTACAGCGACGCAGCGAATCCTGAGCGGCATCATGCGAATTACTCCTTCGGAAGGGAATTCTTCCCAAAGGAACGCTGAGAGCCATACCAGCCGGAGGCTTATTGGGCTTAATTTATAATGAAACTAATCTTCCTCCTCTCTCATTTACGAGCTCCCCTCATAGACTCCGCCGTCGTCGGGACAGCGGAAAGCTCCTCGCGAAATCTGTCTAGCGTGATAGGAAGACTAAGGAATCATGAATAATTGGGATAAAAAGCAATAGAGATCAAGGACAGAGCGCGGAGACGGCTAGGATCCGCGTTCTCCATTGATTGGGATGCACGCAAGCCGCTTGGGACGTCACAGAATTCGACCATGGTCGATGAGGCTGAGTGAACGGTTGGGCAAGTTGACCAGGTCCCCGTTTTGGAATTTCTCGTTTTCGGGAAGGAGGCAACGAACGGGGGAAAATCCCAAGCGAAACAATCGCGAAAATCTCGAAACACGGAATCACAGGAGAATAGTGAACTCCAGAATGCCAAGCATGCCATCCGTTCCAATCCAGAACATTTCCTACGATGGATCTCTGACAGAAACGAGGGTCTCCTCGGTCGCCGAAATTGACGATGACAAACCTGATTGTTGTGCTGACTGATTCCGGGTGGGTTTGATCCCTGAGATGAGGAAACAGCCTGCTGCGTTGGTCCTGGAGGATTATTGAGCGGCGACGGCGGCGTTGACGCTAAAGGAGAGCACGGACCAGCTTCGGAGTAAGGGGAACCAACTCCGCCCTGGTAGCTATTTTCCAACGACAGCGCTATTGTGTCTAGCGTTAAGCCCTGCAATGAAGACATTGCTCATGATTTCCTGGTGGTCAGCTTTTCATGAGCAAGGACGCACTGTCGAGAGAACAACATGCACGCGACGCCCTTGCGATCCGCGAGCCACGATTCCCTCAGTTCATGTTCTCTTGGGGTCTTGGGACCGGAATCCGGAGGAAGAAGTACCGAGAGCGTTAACAGCTAGCCGTTTCCATGCTCATTGCGCGGTTCCATACCCCGTTAGCCAGCGACCAGGCGTATGAATTATTCTATGAGGGTCCCTCCGGATTGTTGTTTTTTGCAGCTTCTAAAAATGAGCGGAGAGCTGTCCAAGCCCTCGAATGCGGAGCGAGAGAGAACCAAAGAAAGTGACAGACTTCTACATCATGGACCATTCCGAACAGCGGACGAAAGAGACTAGAGATAAGACAGGGATTTCCAAGGAGAGATCTCGAAAAACAAATGACACTTGTTGTCATTTACGGAGGGTCCGACGACTACAAAAAGGATCGTCTCCCTTCGGTACAAGGGGTCTACGGCCACTTTGATTGTCATCTCCGCTAGATTCGACTGATATCCCCTTGACATTGTTCGATTCGAAAAATGTGGATTTCGATCCTCAAGAGGAGGGACACTGTTTCCCCTTAACTACCAAAGGCCTTCGAGTGCTCTCCAGCAGGAATGTATCTTTGATCAACGGCTCAGGACCAACTTTGAGCGCTCGCTGGTTATCGTCGGACGGTGGAGCAGACGGGGCTACGAATGAGAGGACCACCAGCTGGAATACGAAGTTCCAAGCAGTCGATGGATGGACGGCGTCAGTCGGCTTGTCGACCAGCCAGATAGGTTCCATGAGTTGGACGAACGGAGGGTTGACTGCCGGCCGGCCGAGGCAGGCAGGCACGCGTCGCATTCGGTCCGATCAAAATGATTCCACTCCTGCTACTGTTAGTGCCGACGTTCGGTCGGTAGAGTGGGTACCGGCGCCACGCTATGCCACTCGTGACAGCAGTAAGTGATGCGAAGGTGGCGACCGACGCCGGAGCAAACATTTCAGCCACCAGTAGCGGCGGCTCCACACCACGAGAAACTCCCGAAGCTAATACACGCCCATGTCGATTCCTCGAGGAGTAACTGAGTCAGAGTGAAGCGATAAGTCTCCAGTCTCAACGAAGGAAGCATAAGCGACAGTAAGAAGCAAATTAGCGGGGCTCCATTGGAGATCCATGTTCTAGCGCGGCTTGGACTCTCGATAGTTATACAGAACGGGGAACACGGCCTCTCTCTCTGGGGAGGTTTGGACTCCGGTGAGAAACTCAGACTTTGGAGTGGTTTTTCGACACTTCCTCGTTGACGCCCTCCCCAAGCCGCCCGTCCAAGCTATCGGGCAGAACACTGCCCGAGCTATCGAAGCCGGAGGGGGGGGCGAGTTTCGAAAATACTGAGAAATAATTCTGAACTGAAAGGTTTGTACATCGGAACCTGAACGTACCTCGACGGTAATCCTGGGCGGTGAGACTTGAGGGTTCACCAGTCGCGATCCGGACCCATTGCTGGTGTCGTGGACCGACCGGACTGGAGAGCCCTGCGGATAATCGTGGGAGTCGTGATAGTCACTGTAGATGCTCTCAGGAGAGCCGTCGAGGCTGGCCACACCAGACACGTGGTTTGACAAAGCCGAGTTTGTATTTGAAAAATGCAAATTGGTCAAATCGGGCAGGGAGCCCGAGTGAGGGGAGTGACCGTTCAATCCGAGCGGTGGGGACAGGTGAACGGGACTTGGCGCTTGCGCAAATCCCATCGGACCACGAGGACCCACTTCGGCGGAACGGGGCCGACACGGCGCTTGGTCGAATTCGTACATGCCCAGCTGCTGCATGACTTCGGATTGCGAACACGAGTTCACTGCAAAATGAGAGAGAGAGAAAAAAACGAGATGAGATCGAGTTGTCCAGCCGAGAGACTTCCTGAAATAATCATCCCTCCGCAGTTCCGACACACAACTAAGACAGCGAAGTGAATATTGAGAGCTCGAGCTCCAACGACCATCTCGAGGATTGGGATTAATTGCCCGAACAAACCTGTACTTCTCCGGTGCGACGGTGAGCCGGCCTGTTGGAAGTTCTCTCTCGATGGACTCTGATTTATCGCTGAGTCCGAGTTCGTCCTTCGCCAGTTGGACTCGTGGGGCGGTGACAGATAGTTGGACGACGAGTAGGGGGACACTTCATACTGCGATTGGGAAACAGAGGGAAAAAATTAGAAGAGGATTAAGAGGCCGTCGACGCTTTAATCGACGTCTGGAGTACTAGCTCTGCTCCCGCACAGGTGCCCGGGCACAGCATTCGCCGTAGGAATAGGGCACCTCTCTACAATATTTTTTTCTTTCCGGGCACTGTTTAAGCTCATGAAAGCTGGCTAAACAGGTAAGCGGATTAGGCCGACGGCAAACAGATTCCTCGGAAGCCGGAGACGAATCGCGTCCGGAAAATACGCACCCTATGGTGAGAGCCGGCCGTAGCCGCTCTCTGCCGGTGATGGCTTCTACCTCGAGACGGGCTCACATCTCCTCGTTTCATGCTCTCCAAGTGGCTAAGAGCTCCCTGTAGGTCGATCTGGGAATCCTTCTGCGATGAGTTGGCCTGGCCGGCTCCCGCGCTGGCCGTTGTTTGGTTGACGTTAGGCAACGAGCCTCCTCGGAAAGCACCCAGCGCCCGATCCGGAATGTTGAGGTGACCTCCATCGGCTGCCGCAGCTGGTTTCGAAACTCCAGCTTTACCTTCCTGAAATGAAAACGATAATACCGCTCTCAGAGCTGAATTCCATGAACAAAGTGACAAGCTGACTCGAGTCGTACAATCGATCGACTACGGAGGGCGGCCGACCGACTGACTGATCCTTCGACGAATCAAGCGACGTGTAAGGTGTCGGCATGGAATCAGTCTTTGACCGCGGCTGCGTGTCTCTGTGGGAGTGTCTAACCAGCGTAGGATGAGGTGCAACGAAGCTCAACTTGGTAGAATTGACAACCGCAGAAATAGAGAAGTGTTTATGGTAATTGATAGTGTGATCGATTATTGACGACGACGTCGGATGGGATCAATGTTGCATCAAACTTATGCAAGTCGGTATCGAATGCCGCCGTCACTGGCTCTCATCCCTGGAGCTTCTTAAGTCAATTATTTAGGGTTTTGTTTGCCCCCGATTCTCTGACCTCAGCCTCTGATGAAGGATGCTTCGGGGGAAGAAATCTGCTACGAAATGGAAAGACGAAAGGATCCACATCGTGGGTTTCAGTGCCGTTTCTCCAGAAACATTCCTCAAGAGATTCTGTTAATCCCAGTCATACGGATAGAACGCGGTGGAGCCATACACATGAGTAAGTGAACGGAAATGGATCGGAACGGAAGTATCCAATCGGTTTTCGAAGATACTGCCTGCCCGAAGCATAACTCTAGCGGCACAAGGAACAAGTGCAACATCCTCCACGAAGCATTTTCTGTACTTCCTATGGACGCTGCGCGGAAGCCTCCGTCTTCTCCTCCCGTTCGATCGAGTATCCAGCGGTCGAAAACTGGAATGTTTCTCGTCCTCGATGGTCCCCTGGCGACCGCTCTCCTCCGTCGGATGGCTCTACCCCTCAGTCAAACCCCTATCTCTCTCTCGCCCTCACTCATCCGCTCCCTCCTCCAATTTTTCTCGATCCAGTGGATATCGTTCCGAATTCCTAACCGAAAACCCGGACGATTAACTAAACGACCTTTGTATGGGAGTTGAGAGCTCGTCGAGATTTTCCAGATCAGGGACCGCGAACACCGGAAGGCGTGAGCGAAGTTGAATACTATACTAGGAGAAAATCAGTTTTTGATCGATACGTTTTCGTTCGATCCACGCCGTCTAGCGACAGTTCTTATATAATTTTCTGGAAGAGCTGCCATGCCCGTTGCGGTCGAGGCAGATATAACTTGGCAGTCGTTTCCGCTGCCGAGCGACGCTAAGCTGCCAGTCGGTCCGGAAAGCGGCTGGCTCGCCGAATCACGGCGGGCTTTTCCACACACACACTTGACAGCCTTCCGAGAATTCAAAAATCCCTCCGAAGAGCATTCATGCGATTCGGACGTAATGGATATCGCACGGAAGATTTATCCTGGACGTTCAGAGACATAATCATATCGGCGAAACTGAACTTTGCGGTGAAGAGACCATCGTCGAGTGACCGACCGGAGTGATGAACCCAGCTTCGGTTACCCTGAATGACACCGTGATATTTCAACTCTATTGAACCGGTGGATCCGACGCTGAGAGTCCCCTCGGATCGGGCTGGACTCCTATTCGCTCCCACGGTCTCTCGTCGGAACGATGCAACAAGCGAGCAAGCGGTAATTATCTAACCAAGGCCGGCAGCTCTCGAACCAGCTGAGGATTATCGGAGATATGAGAAACGAAAATAAAGGCTCCCTGCCTTGGAGGAGTGCGCGACATGAAGCGCAAAACCGTATTGCTCCGCTTATTCGGCGATGGGGAATTATCCTATAATGATGATGATAAGCGGAGGACGTTCCATAAGGGCCGCAAGACGGTGCATAAAAAATCATCGCGCGAAAAACGCTGCGCTTACGAGATCATGCTACCCCACCCCGGTTTCTGGACTCGGTCAGATCAGAGTCTTACATATGTGTACAATGTAGGAGAGGAGTCACTCGAGCGATTATCAGGAGCAATCAGCCGCAACCCTGGAGAACTGAAGCAGTTCCTCTCCCGGGTGGCTTCCTCTATGGAGGATCTATTTCATAGGGAATTTGCTGCAACCTCATCGATGGGAAATCTTTGGGAGCAGAATAAGACTCGGGGAGACGCCGTAGCTCCCCTCTAGCTCCGAGGGGGCAACGAGCTCCTCCTTGTAAGGGCAGCCGAACCCGCTAGATCCGGAGCGTTTCACTCCCATCCTGCTCTCGCCAGTCTGAGCTCCGGTTCCTAAGCTTGCTCATCGTCGTCGGCTGGGTGTCACACGCCTGGAATCACGCCACCCAGTCCTCGCAGGCACGCATACAAACGGCGTGCCAGCTACCTTCGGAGTGCTCTGACATTCTCTGTTCCTCGAACGAACTCCAAAACTCGAAAACTTTCCGAGAAACCGTTCGAAACGTTTCCCTCCGGAGAACCCTCGCCCTCCGCTCTGAACGGTGTTTCCCGCTCTTTCCGAGAATCTGCATCGATCGCGCGCTCCTACCGCGCACCGGCTGTGATCGGTCAAGATCGGCAGATCCTCGAGGGATTCGCGAGATTATATCATGAACTCTTCCCCGGCAGGGGAGCCCCTGAATGGAAGCCAGGCTATTTGCCGGATCCAAGACGAATGTAAATAAACCCGAGGGGACTATTTCCGGACTGCCATCAAGTAATTGCCACCGAGATGGAGCTATTATTAAACGACTCTTGAGTGTTTCGCACTACGAGGGTCGACGGGTCGGGCCAGGCAGCCAGCCGTTGCCGACGGTCGATAGCTTGACATAAGGATGGGATGCTGTGTCTATTTCCTCGGCTATTTTCCGAGGGGACCGGAGCGAGGGGGCACAGGTTACTCCCGAGACCGAGTCTGATCAACAAGCGCGTCGACGACACGGAAGCAGTCTGCGACGCATTCATGGATCACATGCAACGAATCTGCGTCGTTTAGAATTCATGCCTTCGAGAGTAGACTGCGGGAGCCGAGTGGCGCGCGGGTTCCCCGGTGGCACTCGGTCATTGTGGTCAGACACACGCATAAACATGAATACACAAAGCTCACAATCCCTGCACTCTTCCATAAGCGGCTTCGAGCGAAACTCAAAGCTGAATCGCCTAACCCCATACTCGGAACTTCGCACCGAACGCGCGAGCGGCAGCCGCGTCCGTTCCCGGTGGAGACCGATAAATAATAATCGAGGTATGGACAGGAGCAAGAGCAGGATACTTTGTTGCTCGGCGGGGGACGAAGAACAAGCGTCGTATGAATGACGGCGGAGCTTTCTATTTCTCCGTCATACCTGTCGGTAGGACGGCAACACGAGAGACGATTCCAGGTCATGTGTCCACGCCCAAGCCTCTTGGCTCCGCAAGTCCTGCTATTTGTTCTCGGACCCCGACCAGCGATTCTCGGAGTCCGGGAGGGGCAGCGGGGTTCTCCTTGGAAATAATGACGTTATGTTATGTCCCTTGACTGGGTTAGCCCGTTTCTCCGGTTTTGTACGGAAACCAGAATGCCTTTGTTTGCGAATTACAAAACCTCTGCAACTTGAAAGGCGAGGCAAATAAATCGAAATTATTAAGAGGAATCAGGGCAAAGCATTCCCGGCCTAGGAACTAATCCTGATGTTGTCATCGTCGGGGAAAAAACTGTCCCTACTACACGAAGGGCAACAGTGAATGTCGCAGCGATCCGGACAGAGGTTGCGCGGAGACCGCAGCCCACGGCTACTATAAGTCCGACAATGGCAACAGGATTCCGAGAAGAGAGTCATCTCGCCCGCTTAGCGCCGGTCGGGGCTCAATATCGATTCCAAACTCTTCGCCGCTCGATAGTCAGGGCTCTTCGAGGGCTCAGAATTTTTCTAATCGGTCGACCGATTTACCGACAACGGCATTACCTATGTCCTGCGACCGCTCTCCGCCTACAACAGACGTTGCGATTTATGATGGCTGCGGTTACGATCCGTCGGATCCTGTCACGTTGCGTACGTGTACAACAAGATATAGTTGTATATTCCAAGTTGATTCGCCGAATTCGCGGTTCAGCTGTACGGCTGACACCGAGAAAAAAATTACACAGCTCGTGCATACCTCTCACAGACGGGCTCCGCTACGAGGCAAGTTGGGGACCATGTTGATTATATAAAGCGCTACGTGGATTGTAATTCAGATGTGCTCCCAGGAAGCTCCATCACATAATAGTATTTTCCGCGAACTCCGACGCAAGCCCCTCAGAGTTGCTGTACCGTACGTTTTGCACGCACGAACTTCGTCGTGATTCAGGAGAGAAAGCATTCTCCTGCGCATTGGCCATGTTTTCCACTTCGCGGGTTGGAGCCGGCGCAGAGGTTTTCGTGATCGCTTCGAATCAAAGTTACGCAATGAAATGTGACTGCATTGCTCTCGATTGAGGCAAGCAGCACTCGCAAGAGCTTTACATGCGAGAGACCTTCCGAGCTGGACCGACGCAATGAAACAAGCTCCCGTCTCGGATACAAGGTTGCAGGTTATCAATGCCGGCCTGCCCTTCTCTCAAAAAGTTTCGGATCCTCTGACTCGATTACGATGTCCGCTCATCGAAGATTCAGTATTCCGTGCGCTCATTCGATTGGATACTGAGTGAGCAGATCAATCCCATCTCCGGTTCGCAGTCCGTGAATGTCGGTCCCACCAGCGGAATTCAAGCCGGAGCCCTCCGAACAGAGAGCGATGGCTCATGCATACTGGGGAAAAGCGCAATGCAGGTGGCGCTGTTCACACGGAGTCTTCGGAGAAGCCCTCCGCTCCGTTCGGACGAGCACTACGTGGAATATGGCGAGCAAACTACATCGGTAGCGCCCGTAAGGAGAGAAACTCAACAGTTTCCAGGGGAAGGGCTGCACGTGAATAAAAGGAAAGGATGGTGGCACGTGGCAGATGGTGATTCTCCGGGAGCTCGGAGTGTCGGCTCCAAGGTCCCCCCGTCATAAACCAATCGAAGCGGATCGATAGTTCCCAACTCCCAGGTATCGATCCTCCGAAAAACTCTCTCGATCGCCACCGCTGTTTGAGCACCGGGTTTTCGGAATTTTCCACTTCCCTGGGAGCAGTCCTTATCTCAGTCAGCAGGAGAAAGCTTCACGACGCCTTTATCTCCGGGAAAGAAAAACCATATCCGTAAAAAGAACCGCAAGGCCAGTGATTACGGTGAGCGGGATGGTCTCCGTCGCCAGACATCGGTGAGGGAAACGCTCTCGTCAATTATGTACTGGAAACAGTGAGCCGGCGCGGAGAAATCGGTGGCATTTGGGAAACCTATTGCTTCCGTAAATGATCGTGGCGGCTCGGAAATGGCCGTGTTTACAACGCCACAGGTCCACGCCGGCCTTACCGCTCGCTCCGTCTGACTCCGAAGTTTCCTTCTGCTCGTTGCGTTTTCTGCCAGACATTCGCCATGTTTCCTGACGATCTTCGGAGTCGGCGTAGATTTCTGCTCAATGAGAGTGACTCGAAGTCAATGTCCGTTTGAGCCTGTTGACAGTTTGTTACGTCGAAGCGCGACAGCGGGAGTCGGTCAGTCGGTGGCGCGCCACCGTTGTTGGCGCAGTCACCAGTTTTCTCCTCCTCTACGATAATTTCGCCGCACGACCATTGCATTTCTCGAATCGTCTTCGGAGAGATGGAATCATTGTCCAGTTCCGATGAGTGAACGCACCGACAGAAAATATTACATAAACATATAACTCAGGAGTCAACTGAGGGATTTCGATCGCGGCGTCGTGAGTGAGTGAAGAGCTCCCATAGCCGAACGGTATAAATCCTCCGGTATGCGTTGGCTTCGGACGAACTCCGAGGAGCCGCCGCCGAAAAACTCTACGCCGCACGGTCGTGACTACTGCCCGGAAGCTTCCGGACCAGCGACTTCTCGCTCTTTGGATTGCTCGAGTATTTTATCGTTCCGATAGCGATCGTTATTGAGTTCATTAAATTTTCCACGGGTTCTCAATCTCAGCTCTCTCACTCGCATCCAATTACCTAAACATAGCCACCGAGGAGAATGTGGCGTGGCGCGGACCGTGCAGGGAGAGACATTCGAGCCGCTCTCCAAGATGGTTCCCTGTCACCTATTCTTTGAGCAGCGCGGATGGTCCGACACCCGCCCATCTAGTTGAAGAATAATTTATTTTCCGTATCCGCCAGAAGCGCGCGTTAGGGGTCAGACAGGCGAGCGAGACGGCGCAAAGGCGCGAACGAACCAGCGAGCGAGCGACCGACCGACCGAAGCAGGGAGTGAGCGGACGAACGACTTAGGGAAATACGGCGGGAAGTCAGATAAATGCATAAAAATTAGAGCAGCACGGTAGGTATCTGTTTATCTATCAATCTATCCATTTATCTAGCGAGACGCTCCATTCAGTCCTAGAGCCAACCAAGAGCATATCGATTCGAACGTCTCAATACATATCTTTGGACGACAAAGACGACAAGGACCAGAATAAGTCAGGGAACGCTAAGATTCCACCGTCGTCGCTCGCTCGGTCAGATCATGGATTTGTGGCTTGCTGCTCACGATGATGTCCGTCGATGAACAACATTTTCGGTGCGCCTAGCAATTCAGAAAGACGGGCCATTTCGGTGGCAGAGAGGAAGTCAAACAAGATTCTCAAGGTCACCGTGCGGAAATCAAGCAGTCCGTCAGGATGGCTGACTGACTGGCTGGCTGGCTGGGCGGCAGACAGGCGGACAGACAGACGGGCAAGGAAGGAGGCAAGCAAGTGTTGGCGTCAACACTTAGTGCCACTGACTCTACTTCGGAAGCAAACCCGTCTGTTGCTTCGGGGCCATCAAAAAGGTCCGCTCCACCTCCTGTGGTCAACGAAACACACACGCTCTCGTTTTCACTCGATTGGAATCTTCGATTGGCATAAACACGAGCACGACGCATCAGTAAAAGCTTCGATTATACAGGGACAGATAAGATTCCCAGAGAGGATGTTGATGCGACTAATCTCCCTAAGTGACAGGACGACGGATTCGACGACGATCGGGCGAATTAGCGTAGGGATCGGAGACGGTCCTCGGAATTCCGCGGATCAGAGCCTGGAGCGACCAGAAGCGTCATGGCACCGTTATTTCACAATTTTCCGCAACTGTCAGTCAGTCAGTCGCAGTCAGTCGGTTCGCCGCGCCAACACTTCACCAGAAGGCTCGGGTGCTCATTGTGTATGTTGTTTTCCCTGGTCCGATCCAAGCCAAGAACACCGAAGCTCACAGGTGCCGTCAGAACGTGGCGCGGAACGCTCCGTCGCCGCGGTGGGATCGCTGCGCTTCTGTTGGCGGAAGAATAATTTTGCCCCGAGAAAACCTAATGCATCAGGGGCCGCTCGAAGGACGTCCGGACACGGAGATCGGCTCTGTCCGAGTGATGAAAGACAAGAAAAAAGACTCCGACAGATGAACAGGTTGCTCACAATCGTCGGGACACCAGACTCACTCACTCCCTAACTAGAAAGCGGTCAAAGAGGCCCAGAGATCGTAGTAGCTTGGCAGGCGTAGAGATTCTTAGTTGCTTGGCAGTAAGGCACTCGAACAGGCACGCACGCAGGCCAACATCGAGTGGGCTGGCCAACAACAAGTCGCCCCAGTGGCCGCCACAGGACGGGCGGAAGCAAGACAGGTAGGCTGGCAGAAAAGGAGGAAGGCCGGTTAGCGAGCGAGCGAACTAGCGAGCGAGCCATATGACAAAAGGATCGATCGATTCGGTGGACAGGTGGTCCGTGTCCGCCCAAAAGGAGGACTTTAGCTCCTCATTTGCCCCGCGTGGTTGTCGTCGCCCTTGTTGTCGACGGCCGTCACTGTCGCGAGATCTAGAGCTAGATTCTATCCGCTTCGACTGCTGTCTCATGTACGGTGCTTCTCGTGCTGGTGTAGTGCTGTTCGTAGTATTATTGCTCGGTGGTCGCAGCGGTGGCGGCGGCACACGACGACCAGCTGATCCGAGCCTGGATCTGACGCGCCTTCTGCTATCGATATTCGACTTACCCTCGTAGCGCATACTTCACGCATGATCTGCTCAAAGGCGGCCGTTTCCTCGAGCTGCTTCTGAGTGTGAAGAGCGATTTTTTCGCTGAATTTTCTCGGGTTGGCCGCCATCTTCGCTCTCCACTGTCTTCCTGCTGCTGCTGCCTATGCAGCTGCTGCTCCTTCAGATTTGCGTCCTACGGAACTCGATCCGAGTGCTGAGAAACGCTCAATGCGAGACTCTGATTACGACGACACATACTCGAAACGCCACCACACGGCTCAATGCATTCCGCTCACCAAGTTCACTACGGCGCTCACCACACGGACATTGCTACTGCTGCTGCTGCTACTACTAGACACACACTGAGGACTCGCCACAATCTCACCGCAGTGGAGATATTTTTTTCGTTGGAAAATATCCCGATTCGGTCACGCTTCTCGACGAGGGCTCGAAGTCTCTGAGCGAGATCTTCCGGCACGGTGATCGGTCGTGAGTGGCTCTGTGAATGTGTCCGGAGAGAAAATAAAATTTCCGAACGGCGAGCCCGCGACTATTTGAAATTGACTGCGGAGTTTTGCCTCTACGTCGTTTTAATGCGAAGCAAGATGGCCGACTGCCGGTTGGCCCGCTGCATCGGCGGGCGGGCAGACCGTTCTTTATTTGGTGTGGGCCGTCGTCTGCGCGCGGCGCGCGGAGTATTCTTCTCTCTCGACGTTCGACAAATCTTCATCTTTATTTATATATATCATCGGCAGCGCAGCAGCGCGCGACCGAGATTCATTATAGAAACAGAACGAACTTCAATTTCATGGGTTTCATCTTGGATGGAGAGTACCTCGAGGGTTTCGAGGGCTCGGAGAGCTCTTCCCGGTATGGCTCCTGTGTCATGATAATCCGAGTCGCTTCCCTAAGGGTGGCTGTGCTGGGAGAGGCGCGAAAGATACTGATTGGCGGACGAGGGGGCTCGACCATGGGTTGTGGACTGACTTCTGACTGACTGAGAAGTAGGTGTTCCTCGGGGAGCTTTCAACATTCACTCAGGTCGAAAAAATTCGTATGTGAATAGAACAGATCGAGCATCGAGAAGTAGAAGAACTAGAAAAATTCTGCGAGACGAGATCTGCAAATCAGAAGTTTTATTCGCGATAAATGAAAGTTCGGTCTCCGGGAGCTCGAGCCGGCCTCCGAGAAAACATGCGTGCAGACTTCCGTCCGATCACCTGATCGGGGCTCCGCTTTGAGACATGTTGGGACGTCATACGCTATCTCGCATAAGAATGCTATATATAGGGGTGGAGTTTGAATATGTACGTATTCCGAGGTGTGGGCATAAGCGGCAGCGAAGTTCGCTGAACTCGAGAACTACATGCCGGAAACTCCTACACATATCAGATCCCAGGCGTTTCCGTTGATGGCAACTTCGCGCTTCAGTGAAGTATTTCCGCTCCCGACGGCATTTCTCGGTCTTCCTGACATTGTCGCGAAATTTCGAGATCGTACTCTCGTAGCAACTGCACATTGTCTGATTTCATACTACAGGGGGAAGGTCTATATGTTGTCGATGACAGCGTGGTAAGTTGATCGTGAGCTCATCCGCATGCTGACAGCAAGGGCTCCTTGAGCGCATACCCCGTAGACTCCATCGATATGCTCGGCCGGCAGGAATGGGGAAACTAGGAGGGCGGAGAAGCTCCCGGTCACAGGTCCAGGGCTGCGAGCGGGTCAGCAGGCTGGCGAGCTATCACATTTCTCAACGCTTTGAGGTAGTGCGAGAGACATCCAAGGATCCGCGCGTTAGGAGAGTCAGCTGCCACCGCAAGTCGCATCGCTCCATCGACGTCGCCCATGTACGGCGTGGCCGCGAAACCCCCCAGATGGACGAGAGCGGAGAATTTTCCCTGGGAACGGGAAAGACTTCTTCGTCCGCATCTGAGACCTTCTCTCTGCAGAAGAGTATGGATAATGTATGCCGCCGTCCTACTCCCGTGTCCGGATCTGATACCTGTAACAGCGAAAGCAGACTTATGGAATCCCTGTACAAAAGAAGAACTGGAGTCATCGGACCGTTCCTCGGTGAACCGATCGCCATTGAGGGGGGCGGCGGTGGATTTCAGTCAATGCTGAATGGGGTGCAATGATTGCGGAGGACCTCATCAGCGACGAGCTTCCGGAGAAGTCGCTCGCGGAGCTGGTCGCCGCACAGGTTCGCGTGAAGGTGCGCTCCGCAGAGCTAAGGGGGGACCACCTGCGGAAGGGTGCGTCTCCCATGGCTCCCTTCTCCTCCCCCTCTGGGTACGCTCCAGAATGATGACAGCGGGTGGGCGACTGCTGGTACTGTAGAAGCTGCGATCAGGATGGACCAAGCAATAGCCGGAGTTGACTGATGTGAACCCGACAGACACGCTGAGGTCCAAGACGAGGAGATAGACCTTCCGATACAAGTCGACTACCAAACGCAACTTCTCGAGATGGCACTCAGCAGGAACGGGAAGAGATCATATCGTGTGCAGATGAATAGATGGAATAAATCTAATCCAACCCAAATCCAAGCCCGAATTCGCGAGCATTAAATAACCAGCCCCAAGCGGCCAGAGCTCCAAGAATATACGAGGAGCCGTCGACTGCGGCCGCCCAGCCTTTCTACAAAAAGTTCGAGTGAGACCCCTTTGAAGGGGAATTCGCCTGCCCGCCTGTTGCCGGGAACCATTTCGATTATTCTCCCAAGATCACGGAAGAAACCCACGGCCGACTTTCTGGAGACGCCATGCGTTCCAACGTCCACAGGTCGGGATACGGAGCGTCTATCGAGCTCTTGGTACGTCGCGAGCTTGCTCCACTCCGCCATCTTCGCTGCGTCGCGAGCCTCAGGGCAAAGAAGCTGCCGACAAGACGGTGCTGACGTTTCCCGGAGCTTTCCTTGAACTGTTCATTTAGGCTTCTTCGTTTAGAAGGCATAAAGTAGGTTCACACCCGTGACTCGGAGGTCGTGAGTCAGACTTCCACTGACCGCGAAGGATTTCGATCTGTCAAGATCTGCCAGTGAAAAGCGCATCTTGCGAATGTCGGCGTGATATAGGTCGCAGACGTCCCCGCAGTACTCCACTTAGGCGAGGACGCGAATCGCTGCAAATCGCAGACGTCAAATAAATATCCATCATAGACTATGTTTTCAGACAGAGTCGACTGCGCCATATATAGCCATAGGGAGCTTCCATCCGGTTTACCCAGAGTCGATTCGGGAAATGTCGCAATGCATGCTCCACGCACGGTGGCTGACAGTGAAGCGCTCAACCTTCCCTTCGACGAAGTCCGGTTCATATATCTCGAATTGCGAGAATGAGAGCCTCGGACGAAGATCCTAGTCTGGAAATTGATTCCGAGTCACCCGAAAAAATCTAGAAGGAAAACCGCCAGAGAACAAGTTTCAGTCTCTCTGACGACGCGATGGTAAGCCGGACCCGTCCGAGTGAGACCGATGACGGAAGCGCGAGTACGGACAACGGACTCGACAGAATGGAGCCGCTGTAATTTCAGGGCTCAGTTTTCGTTCATGGCGTCCGAACCCTGACGGCCAGCAAGGATTGGCTCGCGGAAAAGTGACCGGGAGACCTTGCCCTTGTTCGAAACGGAATCTTATGTCTGATGTCACGAGAAAGTCAGCGAATCCAGCGGGAGAATGAAAAAATTGGGTTTCCCCAGCGGCAGATAATTCCTCAATTTTCGGCAACGCTGCACCCAGGAACTTAGGTTCGGAACTCTGAAGGTAGGCCAGCTTCCAGCTAATCACTCACCCGGTGAGTGGGAATCGAATGTCTTCAGATCAGATGCCTGACGGGGGGCCGGTAATAGTTCCCCGGACCCTGGATGTGGAGGGATTCATTATATGGAGCATGAGACTTGTGGCTCAAGCGGCGGCGGAGAATACGCTGCCGTCTTCATTGTCTGCTTCTACGGACTTATGACACAGGCTTCCCGGTCTGCGCGGTTTGTTGCCGCACACGAGAGGCCGTTGGAAGAGCAGGCGATAATTAAGCCGACGCATTGAAGGTGTCTACCTCGACGTGAAAACTGTATGCCGAATGACAGCGACGATAATCTCTGGGTCTCTCCAGTCGCGAAAACGGAAATCCGTCCCGATATTCAGCCTCCCGACCGATGTGGTCGGAACTGAAGGCGATTCTAAGCCAAATCGAATGCACCCCCAACAGATCACTCCCATACGACGTACCGCGTTAGGAGGCCGAGGTTGAAAATCTACGAAATGAAGATCTGACTCGGTATCGTTCCGCCATTTTTCGAATGTTCGCGCCGCTCCTCTCGTTGCACGGGTCTCGTTGGTGTTGCGGGCGAGGCGGAGCGATTCTTTGTGAGGTTGCTGCTGCTATCTTGTCCCTTGTTTTCTGGTGTCTGGCTGAGTGTTGGCTGGAAAAAAAATAGCCTCAGACGTTTTCTGTGATTTCGGAAGTTATCCTCGGGTCAGCAAGGGACGGAATTTCAACTAGGACGAACAAAAGAGCCCAAAGACGCCTCGGCAAGCAAACCGGTAGCCGGGCTCCTTGAGTGCCATGGCGTTGGTATGTTAGCGATATCGCAAAATCCTTGCAGTTGGAGTAGAAAGCTCGATCTCGAGCTTCATGGATGCTTCTGGGTTCCAACGGAGTTCTGAGGGGACCCGTTCGCTGAAACTTGCCCCACGTGGCCGACACTCTCGGTGGAAATTACCCCCGTGAGCATGGTCTGTGGTGGAAAAATCACGTTTTTCCTCGAAAATCCGACTTCGTACTGATGTAGTGATTATGTGCGATGTTCGACGATGTGATTTTACGTCTAAAATCGATTTATACCCTACATGGCACTCGGCGATCTTCGGAATTTTCGCATAGTTTCAAGACCTCCAGGTGCATTTCCAATGCCAGAACTCATCTGTGGTCGAATAGACGACGAATTTCACCCGTAGAGCTCGCCGAGAGTCGATTCCGAATTTTGCGTGCTTTAGGCTTAGAATCGAGTTGAATTTTGTCCTTGAAAAATTGCCATGGGAGCTCCTCTTGCGGACTGTTTTTCGATTGTTCTGACAACCCCTATGGGCACCAGCTGATCCTCGATGTCCGAGGTCGATTGAAAGCACGAGGGGGCAGCTAAGTCGGCTTCGACAGAACTCCCGAACTCCTCCCCTGATTTAGGGAGCCCCCAGACCCCACTGATCTCCAAGTGAATTCTGTGGGATCTACCCCTCCCCCACTTGGAGGGGTCTTCTTCCCGGTACCCGGACCCAGTGTCCCAGTCCTCAGGATGCTTCGGTATGGGGGAAGCTATGACCATCGATTCGGAAGCCTTATATTCAGCCGGAAGACTAAGATTCTTCGATCTGCTGCTTGTTTTGGAAAGCCACGTGCCTTTGTTTTGACCACCCTGCCCGCATGATGTTGGCCGGCGTCCTGAGCTTATTTCTGCTCGATGACGTCCCCCCAATGCCTCGTATCGGGGTCTCTTGACCGCAAAGTCAGCCCCCCGACCGTGGGGTCGGTTCCGACTTTGTGAGCTTCCAATACAGGAGTACCTTCCGTGTGTCCGCTAGGGTGTCCATGGTTTTGACAGTGCATTCTTTATATTTCAGCAGGACGAACATGACAGTGACAGCTCAAGTTCAGCCGGTGACTCCTCAGACTCTTCAGATTTCGATGAAAACACATCGACGAATAATCGTGAGCGACCAAACAACAATCAGATCGCAAATAGGTGAGTGTTCGAATATATACCGGGAGATCTTCGGTAATTGGCCGACTCGAAGTCTGCTCGTCGAGGCGGCTCCAACGTCAGTGCGCGGGTTGTCGCAGCCGTATAGTCGTATCTGACCAAAGTCGCTCGAGAAACGACGGAACTTTTGTTGAACGTGTACCTTTCTCCGCTCACTAGTGCCTCCGATGATTCGGATAGCTCGAACAACAGCTCCCAGGGAGCAGTATCTGACTCATCCTCCGACAGTGAAGATGTACCTCAACGCAAACCGGCGCAGAACAACGTGAGTTCCAACTAGACTCAACGGTTTCCTTTCTCTTCCGATGAGCGCTTAATGCTTCCCAAGAGCTCCAGTCTCGATGGATTGACATCCTTCCTTTCCGATTGCAGCGGGCTGCGAACCGACGAAATGATGGCAAACCATGGGAAGACGATCCCGATATGTACGGAATCCGGAGATCTGGCAGAGCTAAACCTCAGACGAACCGATTCGTGAGTACCTACATCAGCCAGGGAGAATATTTGTTCAAGATTCTATGAGCTCGAGAAATCGGTGATCGCAGGTTTCTTAAATTCGTATCTGTTTGCCCGGGGATCCTAAGCGTATCTCTACTCTTTCCATTCAGACGGTGGAAGTCAAACCAGTCAAGAAGACTCAACCTCGCAAGTAAGTGTCGATGTCGCTGCCGGCCAGTGAAACGCGTTTATTGTGTACGATGAGTTCGCACCAACTCGGACCTTCTGATTAGTTCCTGCGTTGACATGACGAGCTCAAAACCTCACTTATCCAGGGAACACGGTTGGAGCGAAGACAGCGACAGCGACGGCTCGGAGCGTCCGGCTCAAAAACGGAGACGGAAAGCGCCCTCGTCCTCGGAATACTCTGATGACGAAGTTGTTCAGCGGGCTTCGGCTCGGAGAGGCACGCGCAAGAGGGTGTCTTACAAGGAAGCTAAAGAGGACGTGACGGACGAGGACGATCTCATGTCGGTCGACGGCGACGAAACCAATGGAGTAGTAGAAGAAGAAAACGTCGAGCAGGTGGAGAAGGTCCTCGACAAGCGACTCGGGAAAAAAGGGGCCACAGGTTCTCCGACGACGATTTATGCGGTCGAGAAGAACGGGGATCCGAACGATCCGGACGCGATCGAAAAAGAGCAGCAATTCCTCATAAAATGGAAAAACTGGTCCCATCTGCACAACACCTGGGAAACTATGGAAACTTTGCAATCGCAAGGCGTCAAGGGCATCAAACGCGTCGACAATTACCTGAAGAGGGAGGAGGAAGTCCAACGATGGTGAGTTTAGCGGGAATCGTCGCCGTGCATTGGAAGGCGAAGGAACTCGGCTGAGTTAGTCTCTCCCTTTCAGGAAGGAGAGCGCAACACCTGAAGAGATCGAATACTTCGATTGTCAACAAGAGATGACCGAATTGCTATACCTCCGCCATCAGGTTGTGGAACGAATCATATGTGAGTTGCCTTCGAGAGCACACCATCCCGACCCTGTAACAGAGTACCACAACTCTCTACAACGCCTCACCCAAGGTATCATCAGCCCATACCATCGCATGATTTCTAATTCATGCATGAAACCGACGAACGGGACAGTTCATCGCCTGCTCCTAGCTCTCTGGACAGACTGTCCATACCCGGCATCTCGAGTCCCGAGCGATTCGGGGTAGTCCCCCACCGGGGATCAGACGTAGCGGATAGATGCATGCTGAGCGATTTGTCGGAACTCTGTGCTCCGGAGCATGCACATGGACTTCAATCACTCCCGGACTGCAAACGGGCTGTACATTGTCACTGTATTACTATCAGATGCTTGAGCTCGTTCTTCTGCGTAGGCATGATTTACTCGGAACAAGATCCAGATGTCGGAAAGTACTCACGAATATCTTTGGAAGCTTCATCGGAATGGTCTCGACCGATTCATTCGAAACGCTTTCCCTCTGACGCGGGCTTTCGCAACTTCTGTCTGAGGGTTCATTGTTCGACGCGTTCTAGTTCCTTCCCACGGGCTCGAATAACTCATTGTCGGAGTCAATCGAATTTTCCTGACGTCTTCTCTCCGTCAACTTCGCCGCTGATAGTGTTGAAGTCAATAAACAGTCTGTCCGATGTGCATAGACGACACTGACCAACCGCTATCGAATCATTAGGACTAACTCACCAACTATCATCACAAACGAAAACGCGCACACGAACCGATTTCTTCTTGAAGAATACGAGACCTTCCTTGAGATTCTGTCCTAGATTTCGCGACGAAAACAGAGTTCCTTGCTCAACTGAGGACTTGAGTTTTCCTTAATTTTGTCCCCTCCCTTTTCAGCACGGAAAGACCGTGACGGCGCTCCAGGAGAGTTCGACTATTATTGTAAATGGGAGGGTCTTCCGTACTCGGACTGTACATGGGAAGACGCATCGTTGATACGCAAGAAGTTCAAACCAATCATCGACGCATTCCACAGCCGGGAAAGGAGCACGACGATTCCGGACAAGCACCATAGGTAAGGAAGGCCGCGGTTTGCACCGTCGGTCGTGACTACTCAAATAGGAATTTTCGAGCAGAGTCACTAAAGGAGCCGGACCTATTCTCGGAACTCATTTTAGGCGGATCGTTTGGCCCCTGTGCACGGGGAGTTCGATCATCAATTGTAATTTGGGCTTGTTTCCTTCCGCAGGTACTTCACGAGTCGGCCCAAGTTTCATCCTATTAAAACCCAACCGGATTTCATCGGGGGCAGTGAGCATTTAGAGTTGAGAGATTATCAATTGGAAGGAGTCAACTGGCTGGTGAACAGCTGGTGCAAAGCCAATAGCTGTATCCTAGCCGACGAAATGGGTCTCGGAAAGACGATCCAAACAATATCATTTCTCAACTACCTCTTCAACGACCATCAGTTATACGGTCCCTTCCTGATGGTTGTTCCACTTTCGACACTCGTAGCGTGGCAGAGAGAATTCGTTAACTGGGCACCAGAACTGAATGTAGTCACGTATCTCGGCGACGTTTTGAGTCGAGAACGGATCCGCGAGTTTGAATGGTATGTGACCGGTACGAAAAAAATCAAGTTCAACGTACTGCTCACAACACCCGAAATCATGCTGAAGGACGCGACGTACGTGGGTGAAGTCGATTGGGCTGTCTTGGCCGTGGACGAGGCGCATCGACTGAAGAACGACGAGGCCCAACTTTACAAAACCCTCCAGGACTTCCGTACGAAGCATCGGCTATTAATTACCGGTACGCCGCTGCAGAATTCCCTAAAAGAACTCTGGGCACTGTTGCACTTCATCGAGCCCGACCGATTCCCCACATGGGATACGTTCGAGGGGGAGCACCACGACGCGCAGGACAAGGGCTACAGCAAGCTCCACAAACAGCTAGAACCATATCTGTTGCGTCGAGTGAAAAAAGATGTGGAGAAGTCTCTCCCTGCCAAGGTGGAACGGATTCTTCGGGTGGAAATGACAGCGCTGCAGAAACAGTATTACAAATGGATCCTGACGAAAAACTACAAAATGCTCACCAAGGGCGTAAAAGGCAGTCATGCAAGTTTTGTGAATATCATGGTCGAGCTGAAAAAATGTTGTAATCATTGTCTTCTAATTCGGCTGCCGGAAGCCACCAACGGACAGGACGAACTCACCCAATTGATCCGAGGATCCGGGAAGCTGCTCCTCCTCGACAAACTCCTGTGTCGTTTGAAACAGACCGGCCACAGGGTTTTGATCTTCTCGCAAATGGTGCGGATGCTCGACATCATCAGCGAGTACCTGAAGATGCGCAGGTTCCAGTTCCAACGGCTGGACGGGTCGATAAAAGGCGAGACCCGGAAACAAGCGCTCGACCATTTCAACGCGGAAAACTCTCAAGATTTCTGCTTCCTCCTATCGACGAGAGCCGGCGGCCTGGGAATAAACCTGGCTACGGCCGACACCGTAATCATATTCGATTCTGATTGGAATCCTCAGAACGATCTCCAGGCTCAAGCGAGAGCCCATCGAATCGGCCAGAAGAATCAGGTGAATATCTACAGATTAGTGACCAAGGGCTCGGTCGAAGAGGACATCATCGAGAGAGCCAAACGGAAAATGGTTCTCGATCATCTGGTCATTCAGAGAATGGACACGTCGGGTCGAACGGTTCTGTCCAAAGGCGGTCCGTCAAACAGCAGTGCCAACCAGAGCAGCAGTACTCCGTTCAATAAGGAGGAGCTCGCTGCGATACTGAAATTCGGTGCCGAGGATCTCTTCAAAGAAGAGGACAGCAGTCAGGACGGTGAGAATCAGGAGCTAGACATCGACGAAATTCTTCAGAGAGCCGAAACCCGAGAGGACGCCCCGAGTACCATGGGCGACGAGCTTCTCGGTTGCTTCAAAGTGCAGTCTTTCAACTTCAACGAGGAAGAGGTCTCGCAGACACTTCCAGACTTTTCGGGAAAAACATGGGAAGACATAATACCCGAGGCGGAGCGGAAAAAAATCGAGGAGGAGGAACGCCAGCGCGAACAGATGGAGCTTTACCTTCCACCGAGACAACGTCGAACGAATTTCGCCGATCTCGAGGACGGTGCCGATGCCGGCGGCAGCCAAACGGTCAAAACCGGGAAACGTGGACGACCAGCCAAAAGCAAAGAGACACTGGGCAGTTTCTCCGATAATGAAATTCGGCGCTTTGTTAAAAGTTATAAAAAGTACCCGGCTGCGATGAAACGTCTCCATGTCGTCGCTCTCGATGCCGATCTCCAGGACAAATCGATGGTCGAACTGAGGAAGCTTGCCACCGTCCTCGAGAGGGGATGTCGCGATTCGATGGCCGTCGTCAAGAACACCAAGCAGAAAGAGAAGGAGATGAAGAAAGAAAAGAAGGATCGAGGAGCCAACGATGGCACCGGCGAAAAAGAGGGCGGCGAAGGAGAAGACGAGAACTCGAAGAACTCGAAGCACAAACGAACGACATTCGGTCTGGGAGGCATTCAAGTCAACGCGAAATCCGTATTCACCGCAATGGAAGAGCTCGAAATCCTAGAAGTTCTTATGCCCGACAACCCAGCCGAACGGTCAACGTGGAGAGCTGACTGTACGTTCAAGGACCCCGGTTTCGATAGAGAGTGGACGCCTCAGGACGATACGAACCTCCTGAAAGGCATCTACGAATACGGCATGGGGTCCTGGGAACAAATGAAGATGGATCCCGCGCTCCAGCTCAGGGATAAAATACTTCCCGAAAATCCGGAGTCGAAACCTCAAGCGAAACACCTTCTGAGTCGCGCCGATTCCCTCCTCAAGCTTCTGAGGCGGATGTACAACAAAAAGCAGAAAGTGGTGAGTGTTCCGACCGCGGTCGGCTTTGCTCGATTTTGAAATATGTCAGTTCTTTCCTCTCATCGATATAGCCCGCCTACTATCCGTGCCGTGCTCCCTTCCCGGTTCGGAATTTTTAAATATCTCCCCTATTGTAGATCATGGCTGCGCAGAAACGCAAGGAACGCGCCGAGAAGCGACGGGAAGACAGCAAACGCGAGAAAGAAAACAGGAAGGACAAGGACAAGAAAAAAGCATCTCACCACGCCTCGCATCATTCGACTGCCTCTTCGAATTTCGAACCCGTAGAAGATCTTCCAAGAGAGGTTTTCAATGATTGTAAGGAGAAAATGCGTCCAGTGAAACGCGCGCTTCGGCAACTCGATTCTCAAGACAAGAAGCTCTCTAAAGAAGAGCAGATACGGCTGACTCGGCGGTGTCTCGTGAAAATCGGAGATCGCATCAATGAATGCACTGGCGAATATCCGACCGACCGGGCCAAACAGTGGAGATCGTATTTGTGGGCTTTTGTGAGCAAGTTCACCGACCTTGACGCAAAGCAACTCTACAAACTCTACAAGCACGCTGTGAAGAAGTGCAACGCCGAGGAACAGGGAAGCAATCTGCCGTCTAATTGAAGGCGACATAACTCGTAAAGAAATCTAAGACTAGTTCGCACGCTTGCTCGAACCGCGACCCCGCTCGGGAGTTCTGCATTCCTTTCGGATCACTTTCTCTTGGCAATGCTCGCATTTGACATTTGAATGAGTACTTTCATCCGATGCGTCCTCATTTTGTGGATTTGTAATTTATGTATTGTGAGGCGCCGATAGCTCCGACCTGCATCGAATTCATCTTCCAATCGATGATTTCTGGCCATCCGCGAGAGCTCGTGACTGTGACCTTAGTTCATCGAGGGACATCAGCGCGCCAGAGATCGTGACGGCAGAGCCTGATCAGCGTGAAACGGCGAGAGCGAAATCGCTCGCAATGTTCGGAAGACGCTCTCTTTGAGGAGAAGCGCCCCCCTCTCCCCCTCGGTCGGATATCGAGCCCAAGGCTCCATGCGCACCTATGGTACGGATCCGTGCGCGAAATCCGTCCGCACGAAGAACCGCGGCAGAATTTCCGTCGGAAACTACAGTCGTGCCCGAGAGGTCGGAAACTGTTGTATTCAGACCACGGTACGGGAGAGCATTCCCCGGAAAACGGCGCTATCGAGCAAGCGTGGAGAGTTATATTTTGGATTGAGGGAAGAGTGACATATTTAAAATGAAATCCGTGAGACCGCCACCTCCTTTTGGAACGAAACGAAGGAAACGATCTCTACGGGTTGAGCGCCTCGCGAGATTGTCTACCCTGTATATTTAACGATTGCGTTTGATCTTGGAAAGTATATACTGTGTACTTAGAAGATTTATATTAGACGAAGATATAGATCCGAGTTCTAGAGCGGAGACAACAAATTGAAAATTAGTCGATTGGTCATTAAGCCGAGAGGTCGCTTCCCTTCTCACGATGCGTTAAGACGTGGATATTTTATTTTCCTTGGATAGGGCTCGGCAACTGTAATTACTGTACAGTGAATCAGGCCGTCTAAAAGTTGATGGGAGGATGTGGGAGCGTTTGTAGATGCTGCTCACCGACCAGAAGAGAACCAATCTCACTTGTATCCGGAGTTGGTTCGTCCGTCAACTCGTTGCCGTAAGGAGCCCCAGACGAGCAGTGAAATTAGAGCGATGGTTCTATCTATACGGAATGCCGCTGGAAAAACGAAAGTCCTAGGGAATGTGATGCAGGAGAAGGAGGGGTTTTGTACATATGCACATTACGTTTGTCTACTTGGCCCTGAAGAATAAACATTTATTTACAGAAGGTGACCAACAAGTCTTTTCAGTGGGTCTCAGGGTGTCGTGGCCTCTATCGACAGTATGACTTCCCTCCATCATGGCTTTCTCGACGTTTTCATTCAAATAACGGGACGGCAAGCTCCGCCCGGTTCCGACTCACAGGGTATCGACTCATTTTGTACATTTCCCTGGAAGATCTCCTCTTCCCAAAGACTATTTTAGCAGCTGTCCAAGAGACTCTCCATCGACGTCGGCACCCAGGTTTTACCGTTATATACAAATATAGTGTTGCGTTCCAGATACAGTATACTGTTTCCGAGTTGGTAAACTTGTCGTTCGTCTTGCTTGCGATTCGGGATGGGCGCGAAGAGGATTCCTTTTTCGTACGCCCGCTGCTCCAATCCTTCCTGAAAGAAAATTATCATCAGATCCCCATAGTGCGATGCGATGGGCGGCGAGATCGCGGGTTCATTCGTCGTTTTTGATATCCGATCGTTTGTCGTCGCTCAAATCACAAGGAGATCCCTCACCTTGAAAGTCACTTTCGAGCTTTGCGCGAGCAGTGCCGCAACAGATCTCTCGCGGGCTTGTTGCTGCACGGACGGGACCTGAGCACTGAAAGTTTCCGGCGTTCTCACAGCGTGGAATGGCTGCCCTGAGACGGCCCGATTCATCGTATCCAATGCGAGACGGAACTGCTCCCGAATTCTGACGTCCTGGAGCAGTTGATCAGGAAAAGCGGCCTTCCAGCCGGAGAACCAATGCGAGACGTCTTCATAGTTCCGGGATGTTTGCAGCAGCTGGAACAGCACTGGGTGGAACTTAGGGAAGAAATACTTGTCGAGCACAGCAGCCAGAGCTGGAGCGGGAGCCACGTCTGCCCAATCGGTGAACCATTCCCAGGATTTGAATTCTTGATTCCTTGGATCGATGACGAAGTTTTGGAGTACGACACCCAACTGCAAAAACGGATGAGAGATCATTGCTTGCCCCATCCACGGAGTCAGAGCGAATCGATTTCCCTGTTTCGGGAATGATACCGCTATGACGGAGAACAGTGAAGGTATCCCCGAAGGACTCACTCACCTTCGGAATGATGTTGGTCGCGATGAAGGCTTCGAGAGAACCTTTCGGCATGACGCCGACCCAGGGTTCCAGGATCGCCTTGGCGGAACTGTCGCTCGGGTGCCATTTCGTGAGGGCATGGGCCAATTTCATGCGGATCGGTTGGTAGACCGGTTCCAACAAATCGGACATCAGCGGCAGCCACGGATGAATCCACGTGTGGATGGGGACAGTGTCCTGGAGTGGGTCCCACTGATCGACTTCCTGCTGGATTTTCGGGAGAATGATCTGTTCGTACAGGTGTTTCAGCACACCGGCTGGGATCAACGACTTCCAGGTTTCCAGAAGCACCACCAATCTGTTTTCTTCTTGGAGACGGGACACAGGGTTCCGCGGGGACCATCGGAAAATCGCGTGGCGTACCGGCGGACACCAGACCTCCCACATCAGGTTGTGGTAGTAATCGGGTGCGTTGCGTGGTCGGTGCGGTCGCTCCAGGATGGCTTGCCATTGCTGAAACACTTCGATCCCGTACCGTGGGTTCTCGAGGGGATTCCACGCGGAAAGGAAATCTTTCATGAGAGGGAAAATTATCAACGGGGCCAAATCGAGCAACTCGAATTGATTGACTTCGGTTTCAAATTCATCCACGAGTCTCCGGAATTTTATGCACAACTCCCCCACGCTCAGACGTCGTATGGCTTGGGGTCCACAACCGGCTTCCAGCTCAGCCAGGGACGCGGCCAGTTTGGACAGAGTTCGTGCGACTTTTTCGCTTTCCTCCCTCTCAAGGTCGACGCGCTCCTGTTGGAACTTCAAATTCGTGATGCGATCTTGCTCACTTTCGATGCGACGAGTACTTCGTTTGATATCGGACTCACAAGCTTTGATGAGCACATCCAGATTGTCTTCCAACTCGGGCAGCGTGAAGTTTCCCTGAGGACCTTTGGTCCCAATGTCTTCCTCCGGCCTATGATGCTGCTGAGCTATTTGATGATAGCCCGAGAGCACCCTCTGTTCCGGTCCCGTCATGTCGATGACCTTGCCCTTGGGACCTATCTGACGTTCCACGAAAACCCCGCTCTCCTTCTGTACTTCTTCGAGTGACTTGTAAATGTACTTTATCTTTTTTTCACCCTTCCGCCATTGGTTGGCCTCGCGCTTCTGCTTCGTCTCTCCTTCCTCGAGCTCGGCGATTCTCTGCGCCGCTTTCTCGGGTCCATACGCCCCTATGGCTCCTTTTCCCTTACGCACCGTCGCCTCGACCGGTTCGGAGATACCCTGGAGGTTTTTCCCCAAACCTTTCCCAGGCTGGTAACCCATCTGTAGCAGCAGTTTCGCGCCCATCCCTCTCGTGTGTTTTTCCCAAGTCCCGATCGAGGAGCCCAGAGCGCTCCTCTCACCGGCGAAAACTCCGGAAGGCCCGGCCATGCTCCGAGGTTTCTTCCGGGCTTTCTTGAACTCGACGCTCTCCTGATTGTCCTCATCTTCCTGAGGCTTCTCGTTGTAAAGAGATGAACCGCTGGACACGAAAGCGATGTTCGTTGATTTACCTCCAGGAGCTCCACGGAACGAAGGTCTACCCCCTCCGGCAGCCTCTCCGTCATCGTCGTCATCATCGTCCGCACCTGCCGCGGAGGGCCCGGCTCTTTCAGCCCAAATCCCGTAGATCCGGTCCTCCCTGGTCTGCCTGTATCGAGTCCTATTAGGATTGAACTCATTCTCTAAGTCCCAGTCAGTCACACTGAAGTCCTCGATTTCCACATCGTCGTCCGCCATTGCGATCGCACGTTTTTTTCTGATCACGGAGGATACACTATCGAGTCCTCAGGTTTAATGGGATGTGATATCAAGAGCACAACATGATTGAGATATCTGTCAATGAGCAACTTCTCCGCCGGTCTCAGTCAGCAGTCGTATTTCGTTAATTTCGAATGCGAACGTGTGTTGTATCACTCTCTCCACTAGGTCCGGGGAGAGAGAGAGACTCGGGACGCGGAGGTCTCTAGCGCAAAATGGACGGTTCCGCGCAAGCATCAGGCGCAAATCTATCCTTAATATTTTCAAATTTGGCGATATCGTCCCAGTGTTCGGGATTCGGACGCCATTGTCCAAGCTCATGGAGTGCGGGAAGCTGTTTTAATCGAGCTCGGTCGCGGCCAGCGATTTCTCTCCGCTGCGCGAGGGATGACTTCATCATCTCAGATGATAAAACTCACCAAGGCGCCAAAATCAGCTCTGCGGTTCTCGGAGGCTGCGGAGGTATGCGAGTGATTGGAAAATCGTCAGAGCCCCGCAGCTAAGTTCGTGATAACTTCATCGCGGAAGTGAAGACCACGAGAAACTCACGACAGGTCTGAGCCAGGAGGAGGCGTAGCGTCTCTGTTCGTAGAAATTATGAACTCGTTGTTCGGGGAGCGAGCCACCGCGGAGCTGGTCGGCAAATTGCGCCTCTTGACTGCTTGTGAATTGTGCAAGAATCCGTGCGATGAAACCTTCTTCGCAGTGGAGTGCAGTCATTACACCTGTAGGAATTGCGTCCGGCAAGCAAAGGTGAGGGAAAAGGCTAACGCCGACAAACACAACCCGCCACTGGCCATGAATTAGGAGCTGTCACCCTTCGGGTATCAGTTCGGTGCAGTTGTAGACGAGGTCCCCAGAGGGACATATGTCGAATTCATCACGGCCACTCCCTCCTCTTCCAGAATGAATGCGCAAAGTGTAACGTACCGGGTGCGATTCTTCAAGCCCACTATTTGGATCCGATCAGTGAAACTCTCCTGAAACTCAAGGACATTCTCAGCGCCGACCACAGCCCGAAGCCAACAGCCAGCAAAAGGAAAGCTGGCCAGGACATGCTGTAAGCTCCCGGGACTTCCTCTCCGCTCCTGTGTAATGAACGCTGGCATGCTACGCCTCCACAAGAATTTAGCTCAACGTTCTCTATTTCAGGACGCCGACGTCGAAGCTCATCAAAAAAAATTGCTCCTCGGAGAGAAGCGCAGCAAGCCCCAAGAGCCCGAGCATCGACATGATCTTCGCGCGCAAGTCGAAGCCATCGGGCCTTGAGACTCAGGAAATCAAATCTTCTCCTTCCATCGCCGCGGGTTCCGCGGGGGACCGAAGCAAGGCTACGCCGTCAGCTGTCAATCCAGCGAATGATGTCACGATCGGGAACATCAGCTTCTCCCAGTCCATCAGGGACTCCCCTGTCATCCGAACGAATAGCAATGAGCGGCAGATCCCTTGCTCGTGTGGTGCGCGAGGTCCCACCGCGAGCCCGATAACCATCGATTCTGGTGTTCAAGTTTCTAACAAGTGAGAGCTCCGACGTATTCCGTGATGCATTTCCTCCATGGCTCTGGTCGGGTCTCCCCTGCGTCATTTTCAGCATAATCCAAGGACTCACGAAACTTTAATTCCACGCGCAGCGTTCTTACCTTGGACGTGTCGGTACATGCGAGACCGTCTATGGCAGAAGCACAAGTACAAACCGACGAATCGATGAGCGGACTCATGAAACCTCTTCTTCAGTCCGTCGGTAAGAATTTTCTGATTCCTGACCGATGAGATGAGATGTCGACTCGGGAGCGCAGCTCGAATTTCTTTCCCTACCGCAATTGATCGTGTCCGCAGGTATGCAAACGGAAAGGCTCCACGTACCAGTCAAGCGCTATTTCGAGGCGGCGATTCAGACGGATGATGAGCTCACGGACAAGCTATGCCCAGAGCTCTGTTCTGAAGCAAAATCCCTTACGAGCACGCAGGCGGTCAACGGGAATCAGACGGTGCACGCGCAACCTATCAGTCTCGATATGAGTCCAATAAAACGATTTGACCGACCGGAAACGGACGCCCAAACTAAGACCATCACGAAACCCGAGAAGGTACGTAGCGTAGCGATGGGGATGGAATGGGCTAGCCCAGATTTCGCTCATGTCAGCGGGCTCTTATTTCCTCCGGCTGCAGGACAATGCCGAGGACACCATGGACTTCAGTGGAGACGACTTGAACCAAGACGTCACGTCGCACACGAACGGGGACATCACATCTTGCTCGAAGGTAGCCAAGCTTCTGTAGTTCTCTGTCTAGGAGTATTAATAGTCGATGATCATTCGCCGTCTCAGGTTCAGTGAATGAAGCTGTATACCCTATACAGGAAACATCACAGAGGGACACCTTGGATTCGTTGGACTACAGGACCATGGAATTGAAGAAAGCTGGCAACCGGAAGGACGAGAACAGAATCGTGGAACGCAAACAACGCTCACCGGAGGTTTGCGAATTTTTCCCTACTCTCTATGCAATGGCTGTTTGAGCTCATGCCCTGCAGAGCGTCGCATTTATCGATCACTGGAAATCGGAAAGACTATATTCTAGCCCGATTCCCTGGATTCTCTCCCGAGTGAGATTTTCAAGGATCTGGAGAAGGCTCAAGAACAAGTCCCGGCAAAGGAAACAAGAAGTCAGGTGCATGCCCCGCCACTCCATTGATCCATCAAAAAAAAATCCGTAGTTCTCTGAGCGCAGGTGAATACACTGTGTCTCTCTCGAGGCGCATTCACGTCCCCTAATCAATGTTTTCCCCTATTCGTCAGAAGGACACCTTGGAGTCATTCTTCAGGAGCAGTGAGGAAACAAGCGTGCCCGAAACGGAACCGAACTTGAAGTTTGGATCTCCCACGAAGGTGATCAAGTCCAAACGGGCGGTCATCGTATCAGAAGCAGATAGCCCGATCAAACTGATCGAGAAGAAGAAGAAAACGATCATCCTGAGCGACGAGGACGAAGCGTCCTGTAAAGCGCCCTCCGAAGAGCCACGGGGCAGACCCTCGAGGCCAAAATTGTCATCGAAGGTTAAAGAAAACAAAATGGTAATTACCGAATACGATAGGTTCTAATCGGCATACGAATTCCTGCCTGCATCGGATGAATATAAAATGGTATCCGTCCGGTCTTTTTCAGCAGAAAAAATCGCAATCGAGGATCGCGAAAGCATTGCCAACGTTCAGCAGTGATGAGGACGATGTGGATCCGCTGCCCATGGATACCGAAGATTTGCGGAATCTTGAAAAGTTCGTCCGTCGCTTCCATGGAGAAGATATTGAGAGGACCCAATCACTACTGATCCAGCTCTGCTGTTTCCCTAGCGTTTCATCCAATGGTACCGAATTTGTTTTTCAGGGAAATCGAGAACCTGGATCGTGAAATGGAAGACAGCAAAACTTGTGGTAAAAGCCGCTTCTGATAGATTTAGATTCAATAATATGTTCACATTCGCACGTCGATTTCGGATATGCGTGGAGTCTATCGGCGCAGGAATTCATTAGTGTGCGTAGTTAATATTCAAGAATGGTCTCTTGCGGTAACTTATTCCCAGTAAATAAATGTTTTATTTTCCGCAATTATTGGGGTATAGATCTGTGCGCGCATCATGATCGTCGGGGTTTGGTGCGTGATTCAGGTTAATAATATACCTCTCGTATGATTGTGGCTAGGCATTCATGATCATCTGGGATTTTCTCTCCGCCGGATTGAGTCGGCAATCGATACAGCTCGATGGATCTCTCATCTTGGGGGTCGAACGCACGTCTAATGTGCGACTTCCGAAGTTGACGCATATCGGGAAGACTAGAGTAGCCGAACAGCTCATCCTTCATCTTTTCCGAATGATCATAAGAATCATTTCGCCGGCGAATCTTCCAGTAGACGGAACCAGATCGAATGTAAAGCCCTTCTACCCGACAAGAGAATCCGCGAGGGACCGGATTCAGAACCCCGAGCTCAGAGATTTCGAATCGGAAGATTATTTCATGCAGTTCCCTGATTATTATGGGGTCATCCGAGCATTCGCAAGATCACGATGAATGGAATAAGGAATGCACTTCAGTGAAAATCGTGGCTGTGAAATGACGGTTCGATCGAATGATTCTCAAGTTGCTGTCAAGTACGAGGAATCTCGAACCGCGGCTGGGCGAACCGGTCTTGCATTTCACATTTCTTAGTCATTGAAGACTCACTTATCCGGTCGAGCCCAGAGATACAGTAACAATTGTCAGAGCCGGGAATCGGGCCCCTGAATGACCGGCGAGGACAGAATTCGTCGCCATTTCATTATTTCCGCTGATTTAGATGATCGCGCGGAGCTGAAAGGAATCCAGGCTGCGTACTGCGAAGAGAGGAGTGGCTTAGCAGGGGCAGTCTCGCTCCCGCTCAGATCATCGCGTGCAAGTCAGGAAAATTCTACCCACCGAGCCCTTTCTCGGGCTCGGCTCAACGGAAGAGCTGCAAAGCCAGTTCCACACAGGCAGAGAGGAAGAAGACCGTGCGGCCAAAGAAATATCAAAGACTGCGACGGCGGCTCTCCATAAGAGAGAGCGGCCCACACCGCGCCAGCGAGTTATCCCACACAAGCGCCGAGCTTCAGCGGGACACACACAAGACATCGACGACGACGAAATAGAAGAGGGTGATGATGATAGCCGCCACAGCAGCAGCAGCGAGCGAGACCAAGCAGAGTTGAAGCGGCGCCAGCGAGAAAGCAAGCGAGCGAGTGAGAGAGGGAGCTGAAGAGGAGAAGAAGTTACGAGCCAGGGAGCGAGACACGACACAGCAGCGGCTATCCCCACAGCAGCCAAGGCTGAACACTTCGACCTCGTCTCGTCTATTTACACCGGGCGTTCTCTTCTTCCTCTTTTTACAGTGTGTGCAGTGGTAGTGGTGTTCTCCTGACGACGACGACGACGACGACGACAAGAGAGGAGTCTGTCTGTATGGAAGAGCTGGCAGATATCGTTCGGGTGGCAGCTGAGGCCACGAATAAGGATACGGTGTCGTTCGAAATCGGTCCCAACGAAATACTCAATGAGCTTGTGGTGCCTCCCGACTCAAGGCTTGGAGAGTAAGTATTCCGTCTCGCCCACCTTCGGGCCTCGCTCCTGTCAGTGGCGGGCGCTTGAGTAGAGGGAGTTGGCACGCTCTAAAAAAAAATCCGCCGCGGAATCTCTCGATCCCCTGCCCGAGTCGGTAGACATCTAGAAAATCGGGGTGCCGAGCGCTGCCTGGGATAAGCCGTGGGTTTCCTCCGATACCTCCGGAATAGAGTGAATAGTGGGAGAATCGTCAACCCTCGGAGTAATGACTTCCGTTTTCCTCGTAAACGACTCCTTCTGGACGGGACTCTTGTTCGCTTGGACAGACGCCCACTAGAAACTCAAATTTCCCTTGTGTCCAAACAGCAAAGATCTCCTCGGACGAAGAAGACGCAGAGCGGCTCCCACCGAACGGAATGTTGGAGATCATCAATGCAGGGTTTGCCTCAAAAGATTTCGTCAGCTTGGGCACCTGACCAATCACTTGCGGCTCCATACAGGTAATATGAGAAACATGTCTAATATCCTCTGACATAAATCCTGCTCATGCCACAGGATTTGATTTGCGTGTTATGCGTGCTATAATAAAGACATGATTGGGTCCCTTGAATGTATCTTTCAGGTGAACGACCGTATGAATGTGAATTCTGTCATAAACGATTCACTCAGACGGGGCATCTGGTGTCGCACATACGATGTCACACGAAGACGAGACCCTACGAGTGCCAGTTTTGTCGGAAGAGGTTCACTCAGAGCGGTCATCTGAGCAATCACGAACGCTTGCATCTTGGTCAGTATGGTGTTTAGACGGAATTCAGTGCCATTCCTTCTGTACGATTGAAGATCGGGGATCTGAATCACCTCATGAGCGAGTTCTGTTCGCTCAATCGGAACTTTGTTGGTGATTTCCAGGCGAGAAACCGTATCAGTGCAAAGTATGCTTCAAGAATTTCACACAGAGTGGACATCTGGTCAACCACATGAGACTACACGACGGTCAGAAACCGTTCCAATGTCCCATGTGTTCGAAGAAGTTCACTCAGTCCGGTCATCTTAGCAATCACATACGACATCACGAAGGCGGAAAAGCGCACCAATGTCACTTCTGTCACAAGAAGTTCACTCAGGTTAGCGAGCGGTTCGATCTGTCGGGCGATCACGAACTCTCTCGCGCTGAGGGATTTGACTGACTCGGGTTCCATTCCTTCTTTTAGGCTGGCCATTTGGTCGACCACATCCGGACGCACACGAATGAACGTCCTTACGAGTGTTCAATCTGCGCCAAAAGCTTCTCACAAAACTCTCATCTGACTGCTCATATGCGAACCCATCGCAATATCGTGCTCGAGGATCGCGGCCCGCCCCCGCCTCCGACCAGCGTTGGTTCTTCGCTACAATCACTCAATCAAGTCGCTGCGGTCACGGGCGTGCCGATGTCGAGCTTCATGGCGCCACCTCCAATATATGCACCTCCGAATGCCCCGAACCTTCTGCAGCTCACCACGGCCACGGCGGCCGCGATGGCTGCAATCCAGGCCGCCCGTCCTCTGATTGTTCGTGTGAAGAGAGACGAGGAGAATGGTCTGGTAGGGGCGTCGGCGAGCGCCAGTGACATTTACGGGAACTCAACCGATGTGCTCACGGAAGTCGATCTCGAAGAAGACACGCAGCCGGGCGAAGTTGCCGAGGATATGGTCAGTCGACTTGATGTTTCCGCGCTATCCGATGGAATTTCGCTTATTCACGATAAGAAATTTTAGACGGAAAGAGCGAGCTGCCAACCCTAACGATAATGTATGTTTTCCAGCGGATGAACCAGCCGTCGACGTCGAGAGCGTCCTCGGTGAAATCCGCAGCAGGCTCATCTTCATCTGGTCTCGTGGAAGAAAATAGCTCCAAATTCGAAATCGGCGAAGACGTCGCATTCGTGGCTTCAGTGATGCACTCGCAAGAAGTCGCTAGTCTCGGCGAGCTCGGAAAGAGCGCCGATCCGTAAGTATACCCGTCGCCAACGAGGAGGTTCGACTTTCCAGGAGGAGATCGCTCGGGCATGCGAGGGTGGAAATAGCGAAGGACTAGTCGGAATTTCCCTGTGAACAGTTTTCCTAATGATTGACCGCGATTTCAGAGTCCGCTTATTCTCGATCCAAACCATGATTGAAGGAGAAGAAATCGGCGGCCGCGATTCATGATATCGGTTTAATGGAGCGAGTCGTCAGATTCACAATGCTGGTTCTGTGTATATGTACAAACTCGACAGAAAGCCCGTATCTTGAACTTCATGTAAATAAGCTATGAGATGTAAACCAAGCGTATAATTCTGAATATTCTGAACATCGGAATAAATTCTCAAGGTACATATTGTTACTGAAATACGCAACGTCTCTGAATTCAACTGCTGATTAAGCCCCTGCTCCCCGTCAAAGTGGAGAAGATGTAGTCTCCTCCATCGACATCTGCGCCGGATCTAGAGATGTGATTCTACTTACCGACGTTGCGACTCCTGGGATCCTGGAGGATTTCCCCACAGGACTACCTAATCGAGCTCACGCCCGATGAGTCTGATTCAAGGCACAGCGAATAATCTCAATCTACCCAAGGTCAGCAGAGAACATAAGCGATCGTACGCTATTAATATGGTTTATTGAACAATATCGCCGACATGGCTCCAATGTCAGCCGGGGTTACTCTAGAGTTTGGACTCCACTCTATCCTCTCGACGAGAGAAGCTGGTGACGCACCGTCAAGAATGGAATCACGAATCCCGATCCGAAGAATAAGGACATCTTAATAGCAAGAGTCCACGGGTTCTCCATGTTGAACGGGAGATTCTGCCAAATCGGAAAAAGACACGTTAAAGAAATGTTCCATAGACCGGATAGCGCCCTCCTGAAAGAGGTTCGGCGAGACTTCTCTGATCGACCTGTACACCAGAGCTCCTCTTTCATTCCTGAGGAGGGCGGAGAGCGAGCGGAACGCTCAAGATTCGGAATGTATCCGAGACCTCGAGGAGCGGGGAAGCATTGTTCTGGAGCGGGGAATCTGAGCTCTGCGGGCCAATCAGTCGCTGCTGCTCGTGAGCTACTCCTCTGAGTGACTGTTTATAAAACACGAAACTTACGCTTCCAAGCACTCCGAAGGGTTCGTGATCATGGAGTCGAGGGGCTGTCGTCGAGATCTTCCTGGCGACCACATTCCTCGCCTGCAGAAGTCTTCGGCCGATCATTTTTCCTGAATTTCACGAAGGTGACTTCGGGGACAATCAAGGGAGAGCCAGTGTGTACCAGCAGCAGACGCTAGCAGGCGAGCTTCTCGCAGGACAGAGGGCGCCAGCTGTCTGGAATGAAATAATTTCGAAAATCGGGACCGATAACCCCCGCTTCCTCCACCACTGGGCGGTTTTGGGGATTCATGGAGGCATTGAGTCTTCTCTTAGTCTCCGCCCGGCGTCACGGACGTATATCGATTCGAGAATTTTCGCGCCACTTCTGACCGGTGCTTTCGATAATATTTCGGAATCGGCGTGTGGTGCTGCTGCCGGTGGTCGATCCCGGCGAGAAAGAGACTGTAGCTGAGCCGCCGGCGGTGTGTCGTGCGAGAAAAGTGCTGCTTTGAAAATTAAGCAGTGCGAGTATTTTAAAATAGTCCCGTCGAAAAAATGTCTTCGCTTCAAGCAAGTTATTTCAACACCCAGTGTTGTTTGATATGGGAACCGTACAAAAATCTCCAGTCGCGTGTAGAAGCCGCCGTTCTGCGTGAGGACCCGGCGAGCCTCGAGGGAATTTCGAATCTGCTTCGACAAAATTTCGTGAATTTCAATTCGCTGTTGTCGCCTCCCGGAAAATCGCCGAGACACAGAGAGATAGTGTCTAAGGGCGACAGTGAGGGTTTTAAAACTTCGGCCAGGTCAACCGACAACATAAAAGTCGATTCAGAATTCGTTCGCGACGCACTGAAACTCAGCGATGTCCTCGATCTGGATGAATTACGAGGTGAGCATGACAAGGCAGAGTTCAAATTTCGCCATGAGTTCTCGACCCCGGCCCGTTCGAGGTCACCACCCCGATTCAAACGTGATTTCGAGACGATATACTTCGAAATTCGATTGAGGATGTCCCAGGCGCCGAGCAACAAGTGATTCTCCTTCTCAGCCGCTGAGCTCATCACCCGGTCCGAAATCCAACTGGCTGCCTTCCCCGGCATGCCTAGGCTCCCGCTGGCCGCAATGTTGTACTTCGATGGTCAGTTTGCGCTTGCAACCGCCCTGTCTCAAATCACTCGAGCCGGTGGCGGACGGTCGTGGCTCGGTTCGATCAAACCTCAGGCACGAGTGAGTAGGGGGGAAAAGGAGAGAAGTCGGAAGAAGGGTCATGACTCCCAGTCTCTGAGCGCCATTCATTCCCCAAATAAAAATCCCCCAATAAATTCTAGCAACAACTCGATGAGGCTCTCAGAAATATCATGGTCCGAGAAGATCTTTTCGGTAGTCTGCTGGCGCGTTTGAGGAATTTCGATCCTATGAACGTCAAGCGCAACCTCGAGGCTCATGGATTGTTGGCGATCCCGGCGCTCCACCAGTAAGTTTCCCTCGTGCACCAGGAGATCGCTCCCGCCGGGAAAAAAATCAGATGCATCAACTCACGTACAATTTCGATTTCACAGGAGAACGCTCCTGAAAACGATTCAAGCGATCGAGGATACGATCTGTGAAACGATTTTCTACTGGTGCGCTCAACAATGTGTCACCACGCCCCAAGCTCTGAACCTGTACAAACTCCTGGGCGCTAAATGTCAACTGACAGCGAAGAGCTTCCTCAACAAGCCGAGCGCCTTACTGTTGACCGCCATGTTGAACGTCCTGGATCTTCATTGTCTACAGGATGGGGTGCCAAACAACGTGAGCTTGTCGCTCGTCGACCATCCCGATATCGCGGAGAGGTTGCTCGACGCGCTGAGACCTACATCGGACATCGAGTTTCGGGTGAGCGCCGTCGCATAGTCTTCACAGCAGGCTTCAGGATAGGTCGTGGCGCGATATGATCTCTGGACCGAAATTATTCAAGCGGACGTTCCCCGCACGTAATCCTTCACGTGGAGGAAGCCCGTTGGAATAAAAATTTCCCCGAGTTTCGAAGCTACTAGATCATGGCATCAGGTCGGGGGGATGATGGGTGGCACCTGTGTGGTTTGCGTCGAGCCTGAATCGACGAATATATTACAGCAACCTGAAGTCAAGAGTATCCTACAATTCGCGCTGACAGTTGCCGTGAACGCGTATCAATTAGCGCCTCCGCGCGGTCAGACACCGGGAGTGATTCAGACAGTACTCGAGGATCAGGAACGACTGATGGATGACGCTCTGCAGATGAACGTGAGTTGGTCATCCGTTTGGGAACTGGGAATCATCTCGCAGCATCAGTCACTTTCGAGACGGAGCGTAGCGCGACAGCTAAGCTCATCGTTCGTTCGCAGGTCTTTCAGCACATGGTTGATCTCATCGGACACAGACAGAGCGTGGTTCACACGGAACATTATCTGATGTTGTCATGGCACAACCTCATCACCGATTTCATCGTACAGCAGCCTCTTAAACTCCAAAAAATCAGAATGATCGCCGACGAAGTCGGCCGCACTTCCATGTGTTATCAGAACGAGCACGGGGTCAACCCACCGAGCGCCTCGCATAATTTCGAGCTGCTCCTCGAGTTTGTCTCGTTACTGTACCGGGGACCCGACAACAAAGTCCCGGAATTCGCCCATATCCTGATCGAAGAATTCTGGACGCAGGAAATCCGAGGTCACACGGTCCGTGTCTCTCCGCGACTCGTGGCCCTGTTCAACTTTGTCGTTCTGTTCAAGGAATACAACCAGCTCCTGCCCGTCAACATGTACGTTCCGTACTGCAAAATGTTGGCAACCATCTGCCAAAGCCCGCGAGCCGCTGCCACCTGCTTCAAAATTCTCAGCAACCAGCTGGGACCGTTGACAGTGTCGCTCGAGCACATCTTCATCATACTACACACCCTCCATCAGAAGCTGCGGAACGATGGGCCGATGGGTCAGAACCCACAGATCAGCCCAATGGAAGTCAATGGACTCATCGCGGCGCAGGAACTCCTCGCTGCGATGTGTCGGAGTAGTGAAAGCGCCAGAGTCACTCTGGCTGAGCATCCCGTCTATAATTCGATTATGCTCTACGTTTCGCTATTGGGTTGCTCACTGCCCACAAGTCTGAAAGCTGCCTGTTTGGACGTACTCACTGCCTTCACGATCACGCCCGAAAACGCACTGAAGGTGTGGCAATACATAGAGGCCGCGAAATTGGTCCCCGCAACCGCTTACGTGAACGTCAACCCGCAGCCGGGCATGCAGATGGACCTCGAAGAGGTCGAGAGCCGCAACGGATTGTATCCTGTGACCATCGCCTTCCTTCGACTCCTCGACACGCTGACGGACAGTCCCTTGCCGATAATTGTCGGCAATTCTGTTTTTAAGAATGGTTTCGACCCCTACATGAACTATTTGCGCGAATCTGTTTTCCTCAAGTTCCTCAACAGGAACTACAAGGATTCCAGTGAGCGATGGATCATCGGATCGCTCTCTCTGAGAATCATGGAGAAGATCCTACGCAAGTTCAGTTGCGTTTCCGACAACGTTCTTTTTAATGACTCCGCTACACTGGTGTTGAAACCGACATCGGAGAACGGCGCCCAACTGGCCTACAACCTACTCGCCCACCTGCTGCAGAACGGACCGTTATTGCGTTTGGTGCTGCGGATAATCGACGAAGGCATCGACGTCCTCAACGCGGACGAAACGTTTTCGGAGAAGAAGGACCTCGAAACCTGTATCCTTCTGTCGCTTCGGATACTTCAGCAAGCGCTCATCCAGCAGGATAATTTCCTCAGCGAGGTTTTCAATTCCCACGCAGCGTTGATCGTCAATCCTCTGGACGTTCTGCTGCGAGGTATAAACCCGAGAACTCACCGCTCGGACTACTGCTCCAACATAGGCCGCATCGTGGGGTATTTCTGTGAACTGCCCCGACAGTCGTTGGCCGCCGCTCGAGTGATTTTCCTCCTCTCGAGGAAATCCTCCGTAGCCGAACATTTGGCGTCGGTCTTCAACAACGACCAGGAGACGTCGACGGCGATCACCGTCGGTTTCGCCGGGGCGCTCGACCTGCCGTCGTACGAGGAACCGCCCTCGGGCAAGGAGAGCGAGTGGTCAGAACCCCAGATCAGAACCGCCATCGCGCAAACGATACTCCGTACGATTCAGCAGTGCATCGAAATGCATAAAGTTCCCAGCGTGGCCCACTTTTTGCTCGGCTTCGATATCCGGAGACCGTTGAATCGAGCCGCGCTCGAAAGAGCCGGATACATGGGACGACCGAAAAACTGCCTGCACAACTGCCTCGAGCTGCTCGACCTCAGCATCAATTTCCCGGAACGTTTCAGCGAGTCCCTGGCCGAGCTATGCTACAAATTAGTGTATTTCCTCTGCGCGAACTCGATGACTAGCGAGCCGGTTATGCGTTACCTGCGCAACACCGAGAACTTTTTCATTCGTCATCTGGTGAGCTTCCAGAAGAAACTCATCGAGCCGTCGACGCATGCGAGCGAGATCCTCCTGCAGCGATGTTGGTTCCTCAAGAGTTTGGCGTTGGAGCTACGAATGTGCGCTGAGACTAACCAACGTTCGATGGTGAAGAAAATCGTCGATCCGCTGGTAGTCGACGATGGACGCGTCACTGCCGACATGATGCAGCCGTGCCGGAGAAAGCTGCTCCGGATTCTCGACGAGGTAGGCCTGCGGACTCTCGTACGACGGGAGATATATTCTACCCTTTTCCGTAGTTTCCTCTGCGTTTTTTCCGCGCCCTAAACTTGCCGTGTTCTCTTGTTCCTTCCGCCGTAGATTGTCAGCACGAGTCTGCCAGAGGTCCGGCCACCGACATTCACTCACTTTGACCCGATCGCGATCAACGGTCTTCTGGAGGCATGCCATTACGCGGAGAATAGCGGAGGACCGACTCTGATCGACATTTCGGCCCTCCACGACCGCTTGGCTCTCGAGAAAATGGCGGAAACCGCCGATATATCCGGTCACCTCGGGGACATGAACGACGAGATCAGAGAGATTGTTAAAACCGCAGTTTCTGACAATGCGAAGAGGTGAGTCTCACGCGCGGAGCTCTTTCTCGCGCTCTTGTGCCCAAGCAATTTTCGGTGGACTCGAGTACTGACACGGCTTCTTTTCCAGTCGGTTCCAATTCGCTCGAAAATCCTGCATGTCCGCATGGCGCGACGTTGTGGAAGTTCTCGTGTGTAGTTGTCCCCCGGACCTCTTCGGAGGAGAAGAGAAGATGAGGTTCCTCCTCGAAGTGACCACGGAACTGTTGACATTGATCTCAGAGAGCCGAAAAGTCTCCGACTCCCTTACGGCCTTCACCGAAGTCGTTCTCATCAATACGATGTCGCTGAACAAGGTCCTGATGCGAGCTGCCCGCATCGGCTCCACCTCGGAGTCGAACGGCTACATTCCTGTGAACGCCTACTCGGGCCAGCTCTTGATCATTTTGCGGCTGATAATTAGTTCGCTGCAAAGGATCCCGCCCGCGAAACAGCTCGCGCGCAGTAACATCTACGGCGCTCTCTTGAATGTCTTGCGGATAGTTAAGGGCTCTCCGAAGGCAAACCAGCCTCCGCGTTCCATCGGCGAGCGGGTCCTCGACTCCTCGAGTGAACAACTTACGCTCCAAAGGTAGGTCGGCGGCGCGCTCCGCGTGGGCTTGCTCTATCGCGGCGGTCTCTCTTGGCTCGAGTCATCTTTCGTTTCCATTAATCTTTCACCCCGATCCAGGTCGCTGATGGACATTCTGAACTCGTACGGCGACAACTTCCGAGAGTTGATTTGCCGTGAACTCTGCTCCGGACACCATGTCATCCGTATGTTGGCTCTCTCCACATTGGACATCCTCCTGTTCGCCGACAACACCGACGTGTGGCTCCAACATGTTGCCCAGAAAGGATATCTGACCCACATTGTAGAAAGCATCATTCAAGACAATCACGAAATCCAATTGTTCGCTCGCGGAAGTCAAGACGACAAACCAATCTACCTGTTCAGTGCCAAGATGAGCGTTCTCCGGAGGATGGCGCAATCGGAACGCGGAGCTCGACTGTTGTTGGACTGCGGTCTGATCAACAAACTCACCGAGTTCTCGTCGTTCCAGAACCGGCTCGTCGTTAATTCTGCTGCGCCGAGGCGGAAGCTAGAGCCCGACAACGACTTCTACCATAGGATCTACGTTCCGTTGATGCAGCTCTTATGCGCGATAGCCTCCGCGGTACACTCAAACCAGGACTGTCTCTCGCAGCTACAGAACTTCCTAATCGCGCACAGCGACGTGATCCTCGTGATCCTCCAACAGCGTCTCGATAACGAGATCACCGAGCAAGCCCTGCTCGAGATCAGCTACGCGTGCAAAGTCGTCGGAATGGCGGTGTCTCACGATGACGTTCATCAGGGCCGTATACGGAGGCTCCACGACACGATGCTGTCGGTTCTACCTTGGGCCATCCATCTGCGACCGCGGAGAAATTCCCTCGGGACGCTGCGATTCGAATTGATAGAGAGCCTTCTCCACTCGTGCGTTAATTTCTTGGTGCCGAATATTCACGATCGCAAAACATGCCATCTTCTGTTCAGCCCGAATCTATTGGCCAACGAGCCACAATTCGGGAGTATGCCTCAGGCGTCCGGGCTGAGACTCGGTCTTCTGGTTCAATCGCTGCAAGATTTCGTAGCCGAATTGAAGAGCGTCGCCGAAGTGAAGAGAAAACGATCTCAGAAGCTGGAGAGGATAAACGAGATCTCAATGCTGGAGCTGCAGGAACTTCTTCCGGAAGAATACCAACAGGCGACTCTGGACACGGCTCTCCAGAGGGGAATCGTCAAGGACTGCATCGAGAAGGAGGTTGGTCCCAGGTCGAAGGGCGCACGAGCGAAGCTCCACTCTGGAGACCACTGAGGCGATCCTGAGATTGCGAAAATTCGAACGAATCCATCTTCACTCGAAAATACCGTCTGACATGTCTCTTTCCCTCCGCAGGTTGAAACCCTCAGGAAGCAGCAGGGTCTCGTTGTATCCATAGTCGAGCAGACATTGTTCATACTCTGGCGTCATCTGGAATATTTCCTCACCCAGTACGTTCCCGTCCAAGATACATCGCTGGAGATATTCACCCGCGGAACTTCGACAGATAGCGGCACCAATGTCACCAACGAGGAAGTTGAAAATCTGCGCGCGTCCGTTCCGAATGTTTTTTCGGATTCATACTTCCGGAAGATTCTCCAGGTGGAAGGCATTGTCGACACCGATGGAGACAAACAGAAAATTCTCGCAGCGCTCGTCAGGAGGCTGAAAACCCTTGTAAGATTAACGTAGACGGAAGAATTCTGAAATGAACAATAAAAGCTCATGTTATATCCATATTTCTTAATATCGTCTGACTTTTCATTTGTATCGTCCGTCTCGAGGGTGTTCCGGAGCGGGCCCACGGCCCGAGGCGGCCAAGGCGCGGCACTTTACACAGACGATTCCATGCTCGACTGATGTAGTACCTGGAACATCGAGATCAAGACAAACTGCCGGCATGTCTTGGCGAGCGGATCCCTGGAGACGATTTCCTATGACCTCGAGATTCGGAGAGTAGGAGACAGAGGTCTTGTCCGCGGCTCTTTGCTTGGGTTTCCAAACCTCGAAAACGTCATCGAGAGTGCTCCATCTGATAGCTCGGTATCCTGCGGATGGAGTCTTTGTGGAGCGGGACGAGCTGGTTCGTGGACGAACAGCGTATCGAGATCCGCCCCGGAAGGAGCAGAGTTGGGAAATGAGGCTCTGGTGCCCCCTCCCCTCCGAAAACTTCTCGAAACTAAGGCGGAATTGTCCGGCCGATTCAGGACTGACATGACACCGATGAGTCCCGCGTCAGTATAAGGAGTAAGCGTCACCCCTAGAAATCTTCGCGAGAACGTTGAAGTGCGAGCCTATGTCCGCATGCGGAGCTCGGGATTCTGGATCCAAGGACTTTGTTGATATTATGGCAGCCACGCGACGTGAGTAAGACAGACCGAATCGACTCCCGTGGATTGACGGCCAGCAAGAGCGTACCGATGCCGTTCTCGATCCGACCGCCGTAAATTCCTGAGGGAACACCGACCACCAGCGGATACGAGATCCTCAAGATTGGCGTATCTGCTCCCAGAACGAATTCCACCTAGTTCAAGTTTTCATTTTCATGCTTCATATGCTCGGCGAATGTGGGGGTTCCCTGCGCGAGGAGCCATGGAGCGCAAACGGGAGGAGCGGAAGGATGATAAAAATTTCTGCTTCCTCAACTTACATCGGGATTGCAGCGTCTGAACCTCACTCAGTCGGATATCTGCTGCTCTTATCTGTTTCGTGATATTGCCATGAACGATCACCCATTCTGTGGGAAGCGAGTTAGAGCGTGCCTCGCTCAACCAACTCGCGAAGTGAATGAGAACACCGGGAGATCGATCATTATTTATTGGCTCGTTTTATTTTATATTATGCTTCCGCTTCGAATCCCTTTCCCCATGATATAGCTGATCATTTGCTCGGAGCCTGAACAAATGTAAGACCTTCTCGTTCGGTAGGAAAAGGTAAAGCTCTTCTGTTTTCAGGTACCTCGACGATTTTTCCACAACCGCTCCGAATGAGCGAAATCTTTCCGGTTCAGAAGACAAGACGATCCGAATTCTCCCCTCGACATTTCTAAGTACAAAGGCCAATACTGCTTCGACCATGTATCCGTATGTTGATTATATCCGAAACTCGATATTGGAAGTAGGTACATATGTATATATTATGGACCGGGTTAGAGAGGGGAAGGATTCCGCACTGTCGGCCGCGTGGGACACCGGGACTTACGATGATCCACGGGTGAGAACTGACGCCTGTCGGAGCGAACACTTGCTTGATTGATCAGAGAGGTGGGAACATCCTTCTAAAACATCCTATTTGGATCGGGTGTTCCAACAGTCTCGCGAACTCGAGAGCGATAATACTGTGCGGGAATTAAAGTACACAAATCTCGAGCTTCTCGATTGACTTGGGCAAATTATTCTAATTGATTTGTAATCTACTGATCGCTTCCGCCGGTTTGCTGACGGTCGTCGATCCATCTGGCGATCTGCTACCTGTGGGCTACACTGACAACAACTCTTTGATTTCGGGCTTCTCCGCTGCTTCCAAGTAGCTCAATCCGTCGGGAGTCTTCTTGTCCGTAACGGAGGCACCCTGGAAATTAATTGAGAGCTTAGCTCCGTCGAAATCAGGAGCGATCATTTCGAATACTTGGGGACTCGCCCACGACCGTGTTCGGCGATCCACTGTTGCCGAGAGACGTTTGTGACAAGTTCAGAATTTTGTCAATCACAGTCTTTCGCCGATCCGACTGAACATATATGGACACATATGGAATTCCAATCACTGTTTCCGGTAAGATGTTACTCCACGGGGTTTGGGTAGACGGGTCGGGTTCCGCTATTCCCGGCTTGCATCAAGAGCGACAGGAAGCATGGTGGCTCTCCACGTAAGGAGGGCAGAAAAATCGGGTATTTATGCCTCGCGATCTCAGAGCCTGACAACGTGGCTCCTGATGAACCGAATCCGACCGCGAGGAGCGATCGTTCCTGCCTCCCATTCAAGGCGGATTCCCTCTGGTCATCGGTCTTCCTGATGTTCTTCCGCTCGGGTCCCCGATGGTGAGTGAGGGATGAAGTGAACGTGGCTTGCGGAACTTCAAAATGGACTGGAAAGGAACTCACCCTATTCAAGAGCAAAGTAACGCATTCAGTGTGACCCTCCCAGATAGCGGCCAGAAGAGGCGTTATCCCGTATTTGTCCTCAGCCTGAAAAGAGAAGAGTCCCTTCGTTTACTAGCTCGCGGAAAAAGACGCTCGCGATTTGGGGGAAAAAATGAATTCCAGAACTTTCGTCTGGTCACAGCAATCCGGACAAGTTTTACAAAGAGTTGATCTTCCCGAATAAGCGTTCGGGTTCAATGGAACTCCGAGCTAGACGGGAGACTCTCGCGGGAGCTTGGACCCGAGTTCCAAGCCGTCCGAAAGCTCGTCACGAAGAGAGTTCAAGCTTTTTGTGAAGAATTAGTTTTTCTGTACGTCCGTTGTTGTTATTTCCGATGTTTTCCTTCGGCATGGAGAAGTCAGGGGATCGACTGGCGCTGCAAGAGCACCTCTAAAAAAGCGCTCCGAATCATTGGACTGAAGAGCCAGTCCGACTGATGCGTCGGCGAAGTTCCGGATCGCCGCCCGTGGTTAGGCCGGAGCGTAGAAGTAGCGGTGTTGAAGGAACGAAAGAAGACGGAGCCGATCATTAACAGAGAAGAGGAGCGAGCCCCGATTTAAGGCCGTTCCGCAACTTCCATGGGGAGCTGTTAAAACACACATTTATACAGACACACCGAGAGGCACAACACGAATTCATTTTTCGTCGGCTCTCCTGCGGTTCTTGTCTCGAGCAGCGGCAGAACTTCTCTGTTTCAGTAGTCCGTGGCCGCGATGGAAACATCATGACGAATCGGGCAAGAAAAATTGCGATCTTCTCGCTCATATCCGTGTGGTCATTTCACCGGGATGCCCGTCCGTGCCAGCCAGTCTGACCAAACATTGAAATGAAGCGAAACCGCTGCGCCGTCGTCACTTGGAGTTATTCTCGCGAGCCGTCTGAATCACGCTTTCTACCATGGACTGCGACACGATTTTCATTCATTGTCGTCGTAGCCCATTGTAAACGAGTGCAGTGAGTCTTCAGTTCGATCCATGATCCTTCAATGAGCCGCGAGACACGGAAGGAACTGACCACGGATGCCGGGCTCACCGAATGGCTTCCACAAGAGCTCGACTTAGAAGCTGAGGCTCGAGATATTCCGGAATCGACGTGAAGTTTCGCTGCGAAGAATGACGGTCGAGGTGCGTATGAAGGGAGAGCCGCTACCCGATACGACAGAAGCTCGCATCGTGCGCGAAAAGGGTTCCTGGCTATTGAAAACAGTCGGCTGATCGTAATCTCGGTGTGCACACTTCAGGCGCCCACCCAACGGGGCAACAAGCGGTATTGGCCCACCGATAAGAATGGAACATGGACTTTCGCTTTTCATCCTTATGAAAACGATCGTTTGGGTGCCGCGGTCACGCCGAGCGTTCGGGTATCGGTCGTCCGTCAGAGAACCGAAGAGCACCTTTCCCAATGGACGAATTCTCGTTTCCCTCATTATGACAACCCAAATTAAAAGTTTCCGTCAGCATCGACTTCTCCCCTCCGGAGAATGACGTGTCGAGAACGGCACAGATAGTCGAGAGCGGGGATGGTTTTAAAGCCTCCATAGACTATATCAACGGAAACCGTAAACTTATACGGAGAACAAAACTGGGATGCATTCGGTGAAGAATTATTGATATTTTGCACGAGATAGGATTCGAGAGGGGGAGAGGCGTCCCAATTCTTGTTTCAGAGCAAAAAATCGAACTCCTCGGGGAGAAGAACGCCAGGTCGCTCTTACTACTGCTCTATATAAAATGAAGCGTTTGTCTTATCCGCTGCTCATTGCTCCAATCCGTTGATCATCGGGGAATCAGCGCTAGCGCACGCGACTAGAAGGCGGAGACTTTTTCCTAGACTCCCAGGCGAGATTTTCAATGAGGTATGAAAGGGACGGAGATGCTCCTCCTTGAATCGTCCCGGCGAATTATTCCCGAGCGACAGACCATTCGATCAGAATGCGCACAAGAAGTGCTCCGGAGCATCCTTACGAACATGCGACATGATTTCCCACAGTCGAACTCACATTAACGTCAGCGCCACTGTAGAGGAGATACCTCAACACATGAGTGTGTCCATAGTCCGCGGCGTGGTGTAATGGAGGTCGGCCATCATCCAGAAGACGGTTGACATCGATTCCCTGCGAAGAGCAATAGTGACATTAGAGACTGCCCGAGTCTCCAGGTCAGACTGATCCACCCCGCGACGGCATCAATCGTGTCCGAGCTCGGAATTCGATTCGGACAGCGCGGAGAGATCTCGAGAAACCTTGTCTCTAGCAGACTGCTCCCAACAAGTCGTCTCCACAGCCTCAGAAGGCCTCGGACGTTCCCGATTGTGTTTTCCCGAGATGCTTGTTTGAACCGGTCGTAGCGCATCGGATGACATAAAATTCTGGCGGTTTAATCGAATTTCTCAGAGATCGACTCGATCTTGAAAAATCGTCACAACGTGGGCTCGGGGAGCGAATTTCGCGACCGATAAGGATCAGCCCCCCGAGCAGTCTCGGATTGGTGGGAGAAGGACGGTAGGCTTATTATTCCCGATTTCACCACTCTATCCTTTCCGATGTCTCCACAGTCGATGCGGCGAACGGATGCTTGGGGAAGTCTCCGCGGACTGCCGGTTCCTCCGACGGGATCGACGCGTCGATTCTATCCGTTGAGGACTTGACGTCTGGGATATCGTCGAGGCGCTACTTTTCATCACGAGGCGTCATGGCGAGAAAACGCGGAATGCAAATTATGCATTCCATGGGAATTAGTCGCGTGAAAATCGTGGGTACCCAATGGCTCCAAGTATTTCCATAGGGACGAAAATTTTCGGCTGATTCGATAAAACGAATGAGAGGGACTGTGTGCTCATTCGCGGAGACTTCTCGGTGGAACAACGGCGATGGCTTTTCCTGGGGCAGCATACAGTTTTCATGAGGCCGAGGGGGCGAACGCACGACCGGTGAGGAGGCGACCACGCTACCTTAAACCTGCGTGGGCGGAAATGATCGCTCAAATTACGCCGGTCGCTCCGAGGAGGCGTCGCGTCAGCGATTCAAACTAACAACCGCTGCTGACAAAATCGCTCCCAGCAGCGCTGGGGCATCAAACGGAACACGCATAGTCTACATGCTGTGCTATCCGATCTAGTGGTACGCATCGGGATTCGGGATGCGCGCGACTCCTAATGAGCATGGGATTGGCTCTTGTTTCTAGGTGATGCTCCGTGACAGGAGTCGTCATTCGTCATCCTATAGTCCCATGTGTCATTAAACTGTGAACAGCTCGATCGGAGCTTTATCCTCTCTGTCCGGGGAAAAATATTTTTCAGAGCTCCTCTCTGGGAAGAAAGGGACTGATCCCAATGAAGTCACGGATACAGGTCCATTCATCTAGGTCTATTTATTTAAAGGGGACCTCGAGAAACTCCCGGGAGGAAGATCTCCGAGAACTTATGCCTTCAAGGAACTCGCGCATATTTCAATACACTCGCGCGTACTCCCCGAGCAAACTCATTCTCTGTATCTTTCGACTCTCTTCCGGAGAGCAAGTGGGTGGGCGAATCTGGTCGACGCATGATGGCGACTCTCTGTCTCAAGATCCATAGCAAGCCCAAGATCACAGAAAACAATCCCATGGACAGGATGATTCGAAAATCGAGCGCCGATCGAGTCTTCGATAGCCTTGAGAGTCATGCCGCCTCACACTCCAGTCTAGGGTTGTCTCCGTTCACGAAAGAGGCGGGAACCGATCTTTCGTCGCTCGATTCCAAGCGCGAACCCATTAGACTTCCTCCGGGATTAATAACGCATCCATTCCCCATCTGGCGCAGTATGAGATCTGACATGAGATCACTGATAGTTTCGCCTTCTGCGAGCTGACGTCGTCGCGAATGCGTCTCGCATTCGATTTCGTGTCACGTGAACCGAGCGGAGGCGTGCCAATGACGCGATCGAAGCCGGTACGCTTCTGTCACTACAGTTACTTGAACTTCGTTGGACGAGTCGCCGCCGACGGCGCAGCGTCAGATGGATAGGCAGTCTCCGACTAGCGACCCGATCAAACAAAGATGCTCAAAGCGTTCACGTATTGACTAGCGCAAAACTCGGTTCTTTCCGAAAATTTCCGCAGCGGTGCCTGCCTGCAACGGAACCTCCGCTAGCTTTTGTTCCGCACGAGCTTTCCGTCTCTTCGTGCTTCCACTCCGGCAGTAAAACGTAATCCCGTATCAGGCAAGCTCCGGAGAGCTCCCGATAAAGACACTCGCTCGAGTTCGATTCCGATTGCTTCCAGACAGGATGTTTTGAAATTTCCTTATGCGATAACGATAGGATTGCAACTCCGTCCCTCGCCCGAGTTCGGCAACTGAGACACCACGTATGCGGGGAGCTGCTTAGAAATCGGAAGCTGGAAGTGGTACCGGCCGCGGCGACGCTGCAGAATGACAGCGGACCGGAAGAGAGCCGGTAATGACAGATTGTCTTTGCTCTCTCGATATTTACACAATGCAGTTCTCTTCCATCAAAAAGCGAACCACGCAAAAGTATAATTTCTGACTTGCCTTGCACTCAACAAATTCCTGCACGGTGTCAAGGTCTCCGTTCTTGATGGCCCAAATGAACTTCTCAGAATTTTCATCGCTCGAAACTGGCGCCGCCATTCTTGCTGCCGGATGGGGGAAAACTTTCTCAGCAGAACGTGCCAGGAATCCCGCAACAGTCCGAGCGCTGTCGACGTCTCCTCGATCCGAGCGTGCGCTTGCAACAGATGATGGGCGGTCTATTCGCTGAGGTTTCCCCTAAGCACATACACCTGAGCTTCCGAAGCAGCAGCTACAGCGCACTGTGACAACAAACGACTTTTTGGGCGGCTAATAGTGAATAGTAGACGGCGTCAGCAGCAGACGGCAGTTCCCGACGTAAACGACGACGGCAACTGTTGCTTGTCAGCGCGCTGCCGTCTGCTCAGCGACGATCGTCCGTCGCCTCCCTCCGCCCCTTTCTTGGTTTGCTCCGTCTGGCAGCCCTCCACCGGTGGAGCGGGGAGAAGCTCAACCAGCTTACGGAACAATTCAGTTGAACGGCCAGTCGTCGCTAAGTGAAACCGGCGCCTCAATGATCAGCAACACACAACGATGTTTTTTGCTTGGATGGCGATGAACACGAGCAGCGGGGAAGAGACAGGACGCACGTTCTTGGGATGCAGAAAGCCAGACAATCGTCGTCATAGGTCACGATATGGACCCGTCCATTGCCGGAGGATTAAAGAAAGAGGCATCCGGTTTTTCCGGTGGGGGAATTATGACATTAGGGTGTCCCAAGATTTGAGAACGCATAGCGACACCGGAGCACCCTTATGGCCTTGCATGAGATATCAGGCCGAAAAATGCAGCGTTCTCTACAAAGCTTCAAGGCACGGGTGGAAGGCTCACGCGGATGTATATTCAATCGATTTCCGAAGGTATTTTTCGGGGGCATCTCAGATCATTTTCCAGACGTCGCAGCGGAAACTCACAGACGGTTCGCCGGCCGTTGACGCTGTCCACCCTCCCTGTTGCTTGAATTTCGCCGCCTGCCGGAGGAAGGATCGAGCATTCAGGCAGTGGACACCGGGAAGAGATTTACCCATACCTTGGGACTTGGCATTCTTGAGGTACAACCCGTGACGGGTTCGCCGCGGGGTTTGCGACTGACTGGGCGGCAGCGGCGGGATAACGAGCCTCGCAGTCGGCACGCATTGACTCAGAGGGACACTCGGGGACTCACGCCAATGTACGCTGTCCTGACGAGCTGAGAGACCCCCATGGAGCCCTTCCTCCGCTTCTCTTATCCGAAGAAAATATCCCGTATGAACATGATATCGGCGCCGCTGCTTCTCCGAAATATTTCCCCTCCCGGGCAACAGCTTCTGTATAAGCCCTGCACCGCGTCCCGTCCGGACGGCACGCGGAGCAAGACCCTAAGAAGGAAGTTGTGGAAAGTCTTCCGACTCCCTTTGGCGATTCAACGACCGAGCGATCCATACTAAATCTGGAGTTCGGTATCAGAGCAAACCGAAAACCCCTGCGAGAAATACAGATTTGACACGCTTCGCCAGACCAGAGAGAGAGCTGTAGCTTTCGAGATGAATTGATCGAGAGATAAATCGGCGCTTATGTTATTCGGCCACTTTTCACAAGGAAGTCAACTAATAATATTAATTGATATTGAATGTTTCGATTCAATGCTCCATGCGATCGCTGTGTTAGAAAAGTCACGCCCTGGAAACGAGTATGCGAGCACTGGGTAGAGGAGGATCCGACAGCAGATGGACGCCGCCGAAAGTTCACAGAACTCCGCCAGGAACCGGCTTATCTTCAGCGTGTGCACCTCCGGCGGAACGATACCGACCGCGGAGCACAACGATGGAGGAAAAACTTCAGTGTACTTCCTATCCGCATTGGTTCTAATGGAGGTGCTCGTTTAACGTAGATCTCGTACAAAGTTCAAACAAACGGCACCTGGAAAGTTCAATTAATAGAAGTGCAAGTCCGCCTCAAACGAATCCCTTGGTATTCCCAGCTGAGCTCAGAATATTGACCCGGCAGAGAATGCATGCTGTTTTTTCGAAGTGTAGGAGCGCATTGGGAGCGAGAGATGGAGAATTTAACGAGCTTCATGGTCTGCTCCCCTATGATAGGGGAAATCGGAAACGAAGGACAAAGTCTGACATTTCAATTGTCCCCGAAAAGACCCCCAAGTTCGGGGGGTCGTTGTACATATGAGTTTCCGAAACGGCTTGTATGTACCCTAAAGTTCCGCGTATAAGGAACCCTTGATTGTGGAGAAAAGTTCCGCGTATAACGAACCTCCCGTATAGCGGACCCCGCGTATAACGATCCTTCCGTATAACGGACCCCGCGTATAACGATCCTTCCGTATAACGGACCCCGCGTATAACGATCCTTCCGTATAACGAACCTTCCGTATAAAGAACCTTCCGTATAACGAACCTCCCGTATAAGGAGCCTCGCCCATAACGAATCTCGCGGATGAGAAACCTTCTGTATGGTGAGCCTCGCGTACAGCTTGCTATTTTATTTGGAGTGCGACCTTATCAGGTACCGGTTGACTCAAACGATTCCGACGGTATCGAAAGTTTCCCTTGGAGTTGGACCGATACAGAACAAGAGCTTCATCGCCGTGAATCTTATGCGGGTACGTGTATCATCTGAGCCGGATAATGATAGGGTAGTGCTCGATCTCCTCA